GTGGACTCATATATAATTTTGTGTTGAACAAAGTTGTAATTTGAATATTTAGTCATGTATTTGTGTTGAATTTTATTAAATAATGATTTGAAGATATTTGGTATTGTATTATTATTAGTTTTATACATAAAAGTTAGCAGATGATATATATTTAATTGGTACAAATTTAATATTTCTAGATTGTTGAACAATGGTCTAGAATGTGAGAGGCGGTGTGCATTTGATAATAATCTGATTGCATGTTTTTGTTTGCAAAATAGATTTTTTGTCTTTGTTTTATTGGTGCTGCATCAAGCAATGTTTGCATAATTAAGATTGGAATGAATAAATGAGTGATATATGTATTTCAAACATGATTGATTTAAATATGGTTTTGCTTTATAGAGTAATCCTATATTTTTAGAAATTTTATTTTCAATCATGTTTATGTGGTCTTTCCGATTTATGTTTTCATCTAGTATTACACCTAGAAATTTCATTGAACATTCTCTTTTTACGTTGTATTCTCCAATAATAAGTTTTGGAAGTGCAATAGGGATTTTATCTTTTTTATGGAGACGATGAAAGATAGTATATTTGGTGTTAGTTAAATTAATTGAAAGTTTATTCATATTTAACCATTCAGTTAGTTTTAGAAGTTCAATGTTGACCGTTTTAAAAAATGTTGTTATATCACTATGAGAATAAAATAAATTAATGTCATCAGCAAATAATATAGAACCTAGAATATTAGAAGCTTTGCTTAAATCATTAATATAGATTAAAATTAAAAGTGGTCCTAATATAGATCCTTGAGGAACGCCGCAAGTAATTGTCATATTGTTAGTTTTTCATTGCTAAATGAAATATATTATTTTCTATTAGATAAGTAGCTTTTGAACCAAGCTATGTTTATATTTTTAATTCCGTAGTTTTCTAATTTTTATTTAAAATACTATGATCAACAGTGTCGAATGCCTTACTAAGATCTATGAAAATACCTAAAGTGAACTTGTTTTTGTCAAAACCTTGAAAAATAATCTGAATGAGATGAAGAATGGCATGATCAGTAGAGTGCCCTGTTTTGAAGCCAAATTGTTTGTGATAAAGAATATTATTTTTTTCTAAAAATGAGTATAATTTGTTATACATAATGAGTTCTAGTATTTTCGAGAAGCAAGGAAGTATGGAAATAGGTCTATAGTTCGAGATATTAGTATTATCTCCGGATTTAAAAACTGGTATTACCTTTGCGATTTTAATTTTTTTTTGGAAAGATTTCTTGTTTAAACGAAAGTTTTAACTTTTTTAATATAGAACATACATTTAGTTACAACATTACTACTAACATTATCAAGTCCTAGTGCTTTGTTTAATTTTAATGAATGCACAGCATCTAATAATTCTTTTTCTGTTAACTCAGCATTTTCCATTATTGATTTGCTAGGAGTCAAGTATTTCTCCTCGTTAAACTCATTGTGTTATAATTTTGATGCTAAATTTAAACCTGCATTGACAAACACCTCATTAAATATTTTAGCAATTATAGATTCATTTGTAATATCTTGATGATGATAATTTAGTTTTTTTGGAAGACCATTTAGCTTAAGTGTTTTTTTTCGAATTACTTCTTTAATGACTTGCCACGTTTTATGAGAATCGCCTTTAAATTTTATTTTTTTATTTGAATAGTATAACTTCTTTGAAAGTTTTATAATTGATTCAAAGTGACATTTATATTTTTTATACCATAACTCATTTTTATAAGTTGTTTTTTTCAGAAACACTTCATACAATCGTTTTTTTTTTTTTTTTGATCATTTTATTATTCCTAGTGTAATCCAAGCGTTTATAAATGTTTTAGTTTTAATAATTTTTGTTACCACTGAGAAATCATTATCGTAGTGTTTTTTGAATATCCGAAGAAAACTGTTATAAGCAGTATCTGTGTTTTGAATTTGCAAAATTTTGTCCCAGTTTTCAGAAAGTAGAGAATTATTAAAAAGTTCCATAGAAATGTCATTATATATTCGATTTGTAATAATAATTTTTTTTTGAGGGGTATGTTCGACAACCTTATGTGCGATTATAAATATTGAGAAATGATCCGATATATTAGATATTATCATTCCAGTTTTTATTTTGTTTTTTGTATATTCATTAATTATTATTTGATCAATTGAGGTTGCGCTATTCCTAGTAATTCGTGTTGGTTTATTTATTTTTGGAATGAAACCATTTTGAAATATGATGTTCATAAAATTTTTTTTCATTTTTATTTGTGTCGTAATCGAGCACATTATAATTAAGATCCCCCACAAAAAAGACACGTTTGTCACATAAAATTTTATTTTTAAATTTTTAAAGTGTTTTTCAAAAAATTTGTTATTACCAGATGGCGGTCTGTACACAACATGTACAATGATGTTTTTAGTGATTTTGTTTATAACTTCAGTTGTTAATGATTTGCAATCATTACTAATTACACTAAATTCGGTTAGTGGTTTAAAATCCAAAAAATTGTGAACAAAAGTACATACTCCTCCACCTATTGTCTCAAAATTTCTGAATTGATGAATAACTTTATAGTTTTGTAGTTGAAAATTTGAATCTTTTTCATCTTGTTTATCTCGACACCAGGCCTCTGTCAGACAAATAATTTTAAAATTAATTTCAACACTATATAAAAAATCTTTAAATTTATCATAATTTTTTGGAGGCTCCTAATATTTAAGTGTAAAATAGAGAACTCTTTAATATCTATATCAGTAGTAAGATTAAAAATATCGGAATTATAATAAAAAGGGCATATATTGCTAATTATTTCATCAGTGTTAAAAAAATTAACATCTGGATCTGAATGACTCTCTAAAAGTATATTTTTATTTGTCTGGAAAGCCTTAAAGCTTAATTCACAAAAATTCATATCTTCCATAACAACAATAAAGGTTATACTAACAAAATATTTAAAGTATAAAATAATTAAAGTTTAGTAGGTAATTTCCTGAATTCTTTTACTATTAATTTATCGTAAATTACAACCGAAAACATACCATTTTCCTATGTACCTTCATTTACTCGAGTAGTTTTTTTCCTGATAGATGCAGTTTCTGTTGAATAATCCTCATTGATATATATTCCAGACCCTTTTAGTTTACTCGCATTTTTTAAAACTTTTACTTTATCCTTGTAATTTAACAGTTTCATTACTATTGATCTTGGTCTACCTGCTTCAATTTTTCCTGAGCTGTGTCAGGAAAAATTGAAGCAGGTAGACTTGTGCTTGTTCAATTACAATTCCTTTTAAATTAAGTTTTTCTTAAAAAATATTTAATACCTTTAGTTCGGTGTCATCCCAATCTTCTTTTTCATTTTCCGAGAGACCCTCTATTTGAAGATTATTCCTCCTTTGTCTATCTTCAAGCTGCCTTAGATTATTATCTTCTGTATCTCTGCTTTCTGATTTTGATATGATTTTTTTTTCTAATTCGAGATTTTTTTTTTCTTGCATGTCTTGTGTAAAGTTCAAACTTTCTTCTATATCTTTTTGGGCAATTTCATTTTTGTTTAATCTTTTAACATAATTTTTTTGTTCCTCTTTAATTAATATGTTTTCTTTTTGCACATTTCTTTTACAGTATTTATTTCTGTTAGCAAACCATCAATTCTATCGTTTGTTAGTTTCAGATTTCCACTAATTAGTTTTAGAATATCATTTTGTTGCTTGATAAGCATTTCGTTGAATAAATCCCGAACAAGCTTTATTGAAATAATTTGTTCCTCGCTTGATAATTTATCCATGATGTATTGCTTTATTTCATTTGTGTTCTTTTTTCCGTTGATAATTCCTACTATACTACGATTTATTTTCTATTAATTTACACGCTCGCAAAAATCCCTATCTCCTCTTTTCCAAAAAAGAAGGGACAATTACATACTTTTGAAAACTGCTTTCGTGCTAGGTTTTTTTTTTTAAATAACTACATCTTGATCTTTTTGACACAAAACAACTGGCCACAAAAAGGGGCTAGCAGTAATTATTACTAAGTCAGGTTGAACACCACATTCTCCACTGTTAGATATAAAGTTTCTCGTTCTGATTCAGGTGATTCACATTGAAACTCATTTATCTCAGCTTCAGGAGAATATTTTGAGCCCACTACTGATCCAGAGTCCTTCAAATCACACATATTGAGTGCAGTAAATTACACATATTGACTAAAAATCTCAGCAAAGATGCAAAAACTCAAATATTTGATAACTGGCCGGGTGCTGGTATTACCAGGGTTTACCAGGGTTATACTTTAAAAGTTAAAGCCGCTTGTTTGTCTAAAATATGCAACGCTATGATTCTCTCTTTTGCTTCAACAGCCTAAAAGAGTCCCAGTGGGAACGGACGTAAAAAAGACGTCTTTTAAATGTTTTATACACGTTTTGTATATCTTTTGAACGTTTTGGACGTCTTTTGAACGTTTAAAAGAACGTTTAAAAGTCTTACTTTGGTCCGGTGCCCACTGGGGTAGCGCTTTTATCGTGAAATTGACAACAAATATCTCGTTTGTTTGTTTTTTTGCAAGCAGTTGGGGCGAACCCATGGAAAGCACGTCCTAACGAAGTTTTCAGTTCTAATAGTGTTGACTGCTGTCAAAGCGATATTTGATCAGTTACCATTTTAATTACCACAACGCATCATCAATACAATCGAGCATGAGCTAGAATTGCTAGCTGTTCATAGGGATTACGGAATACACCCGCTTCCGTCTAATTCTACTCAATAAATTGTATTTTTTTCGTAAAATTTTTTTTTTAATGTTGTTGTTAGACATTGGTGGATAATATACTAGTTATGTTGTTGTTAGACATACTAGTTATGTTGTTGTTAGACATAACTAGTTATGTAGTTGTTTGACATAACTAGTATATTACCCACCAAATTTTCTTAAAATTATCAGTCTGGAAGTTTATCTCATATAAAAAAAACTAAACTGGGGCAGCTGCGATAAAGTTATTAATTAAAAAGGTGCCTAGTGTGAGGGTCGAACTCACGACCTTCAGATTATGAGACTGACGCGCTAACCAACTGCGCCAACCAGGCACATTTTACTAAAAATAAAACTTAAGGTATTTCAAAAAAGACATCTGATATTATTAATACGCTAATTTAGTAGTTAATAGCAAATAATAGCTAAGTAGTATTTAGTAGTTAATAGCAAATAATAGCTAAGCAGTAGTTAATAGCAAATGACTTACGTCATTTTCTAGGCTTTTCTATTTTAAAGTAGTTTCTAGGCTTTTCTATACGCGGTTTTTTTTTTAATTTTATTTACTAACAACCCGTATTAACTGCTAGTTTTAATAAATCTATTATTATAAAATTATTATTAATGGGGTCGTCCATAAATTACGTCAGGCTTGAAGGGGGGACGGGGAGGCAATTTTGTGACGATTTGTTACGAGGGGGAGAGGGGGGTCTCTATTTTGTGACGCAACATTTTTTTTTTTAGAGAAGACTATTTGGTAATGTTGCAGAATAGCGGTGTAAAATAAATCTATTATTTACCTTTATGTGCTCCAATGATATATTATATAACTAGATATCTAACTTGCGGGATTTTATTAGACAAAAAGTAAAGCTGCTTTTTTTTGTTTATAACAATAGCCCGCCATTTGTAAAAAGGACAAAAGCTGAAGCCGATGTGTAGAATAAAAGTTAAAAAAGTATACAGGACTTTTTTCCCAAATTGATGATTGCTCCCCCCACTTCAAAAATCATGTCGTCGGCCCTGTTTAAGAAAAAAAAAGTTAAAAATATTTGAATTTTAATTTATGAACACTAACCTTGAACGAGTTGACTGATTCAGCTCTTATGGCGTTTAAAGGTAGCGTATTCCAAACATTCACGATGCGATTAGTGAAGAAATTAAATCTTTCTTGACAGTTTTTTACCCTTTGGCGTTCGAGTCGAAGATAATGTCCACGTAAATTATATTTGTAAATCGATGGTGCGTGGACTTGAGGGTTATCAAAAATAATTTGATCAATACCTTTTGAAATTTTAAACTGTTGACTCTAATCACCTTGAACTCTCCTTTCTTTAAGAGTAGTTAAGCCGAGATGAAAAAGTCTTTCTTCATATGGCAAATGCTCTATTTGCGATATTGTTTTAGTTGCTTTATGCTGCACTTGTTCTAGAATAGCAATGTCTTTTTCATTGTGTGGTGACCAAGCCTGGATAGCAAATTCTAACTGGGGTCTTATATATGTTTGTAGGGTACTTTCCACAAAAAGAGTCCACGACTTCTGAAAATTTTCTTAAGTCTACCAAGTTTACTGTTTGCTTTTGCTGCTTCTAATTCGACTTGATAGCTTACTTTAAGATCGTCTGATAGAAGTACTCCCAGATCATGTTTGTGTTTAGTGACGTCCAGTTGAGTTCTGTTTCCACTCGAATCGAGCGTTGAATAAGTTTGGGTAGATTTAGAGTAACCACGCCCGACGTGAATAACTTTACAATTATCGAAGTTGAGAGGCATATTCCATTTATGCAACCAATCTACAAGATTATATCAGTTTGCAATGTTCTTTTGTCCTCCTCAGATTTTAGTATTCCGATTATTTTGCAATCGTCAGCATAAATCTTTATGTGATGAATAATATAGTCCGGCAGATCATTTATATATAAGATAAAAAAAAGTGGACCGAGCACAGAGCCCTGGGGTACCCTGCTTGTTTCATATTTCCATACAGATTTATGCTTGTCGATTACAACCCGTTGATAACAATTCGTTAACCAGTTTGCTATCCAGTCTAAAACTATGCCGTTTATACTATAGGCTTTAGGTTTTTGTAAGAGTTTGACATGTGGAACTTTATCAAAAGCTTTCGCAAAGTCAGTGAAGATGATATCAGTGGCGCAGCCTTGATGCATTGCTTCGGTTAGTATATCCCGAGTTTCAAGTAAGTTCGATGTGCATCCTTTACTTTGTAGAAATCCGTGCTGTTCTTTAGATATTAGGTTGTGCTAAGACAGTAATTTATGATTTTTTTTGTGTATAATACCTTCTATAATTTTGCAGGGTACCGATGTAAGTGAGACTGCTCTATAATTGGCTCGGTTCTGCTTGCTGCCTTGTTTAAAAATTTGGGTGACATTTGATCTTTTTTAAAGCTCTAGAACCTGTGAATCGCAAATTGATTTTCGGTAGATCATAGCTAATGGAATTGCAAATGCTGACGCATTTGCAATTCCATTAGCTATGATCTATCGTGGGTGATTCCATTAGCTATAATACTCGTGGGTGTATGTCGTCGTATCGTTTTGACTTAGTTTCAATGAGCTATTTTAGTCTTTCTTGAACTGAAGTCGCCGATATGAAATTTAAGTCTATACTGCAAGATATATTTGTACGTGATCCAAAATCTGGCAGCGAATCTGGTTTTTCAGTAGTAAATACAGAATGAAAATAATTGTTTAGAATATCTGAAATAACTGCACCGTCGGTTATGATGTTTTTATTGTCATCTTCGAGAGCTTGAAGTTAGTTACTAGTTTCTTCTTTATTTTTGATGTGATCATAGAGTTTCTATGGGTCATTTTTGAAAACACTAGCAAACTGATGTTCGTACCTTTTAATAGCTTTTTTATTACCTCTGAAACATGTTTACAAGCTATTTTATGCTTACTACTGAGTGCTTCATGTGTTTTAGTTCCAAAAGCGACATATTGCCTCCAGAGATTAAGTTTATGAAAAACCGCTTCTTTAACTTCCGGTGTGGTCCAAGTTTCTTTTTTTGTTTTAAAAGGAACAGAAGTCATTGGAATGTATTTGCACACAGCTTCCATATATTTGTTTACAAGTAGTTGGTATTTAAAGTTTGCTAAATGATTAGTAAAGTTTTTGTCCCAATTGTAATCCATGATATATTCTGATATTTTTTGATAGTTCGCTTTGCTCCAAATATAACGTGAATGAAATGTAGCTGGTACTTTAAAATTCATAGTTTCGAAATGTCAAGTGATTAGGAAGTGAGCTTTACCCTTAGATGTGTCTCTGATAGGATTATCCTTTTTGAGGTCTCTAACTCTGTTTGATTTATCGGTAATGACAAGGTCAAGAGTATTACCCATTGCATTGTTTCTTGAGTTGCGATATGTTGGAAATGTTATCATTTGAGTTAAATAATGCTCACCTAAGCATTGTTGAAGCTAAGTATCACTAGGCGATTCATTGTTGATATGCGCTACAACTAGTGTACAGTCATCAACTTCAAGTTCTTCATATGTTGTGTGGCTTAAGTTAAAGTCACCGTATAAGAGCATGGATGCACAGCCTAATTTCGAGAGATTGCATTTCGCAGCTTTGATTGAAGAAATTATTTTCATGAGGGTATCATCGTTATTATCTTGAGGTTGATAGATACATCCAAGGAGGAGTTTTTCATTACCAAACTTGATAATTTGCCAATGATGTACACTTCAATTTCTGGTAAAGAATTAATCCATCATGCACACTTCAATAAGAATTGCATTCTTTACAGTACCAGCGGTAGCCATCCTGTGTTCATTGGTAAACGTTTAATCCAAGAGATTTATTGCAATACTTACCCCCAAAAAAATTAGAATTTGATTTCACTGGGCTAACCATTGTAGAGTAGGCATTGGCTGATCAAACACTGGCCCAAGTTCAAACAAGTTCTAGTTTTTAGCCTAATTTATGTATAAACTAGAATTTATACTCCTGGGATTATATTGTTAAGGTGGTTATCAGGTAAAAAAATAGCGATTTTTGTGAAAAAATGTGTTTTTTAGTTTCTTAGCCAACTTTGTGTAAAATTTAATTAGCTTTTCAACCATATACAACATGATATTGGTTTATTAATAAAAAAAAATGTAAAAAAATTGTTTTAGTTGGTAAGAGTAAAAAAAATTTACTTAACAACTGCATAGCAACCAATTATTTTTTATAGATATATAACCCAAAAACTAGATTTAAACAATTATTTCTTTTTATGGGTCTGTATAATTAACTAAACTTTTGACTTGCTATTAACTTGACTTGCTATTCAGTAAACTTGCTATTAAAAGCATTCTTAAAGACACATTCTTGGCACTACGGTCAGATAATTTGTTATGAAGATACCTGGCGCAACACAAAATCCAAATGAAGCTTTCAACCAGATAATCTAAAAAACATTTTTGTTACTATAAAGGTACTAGATCTTGGTGTTACTTTAGCTATAATAAATTATAATCATGGTTTAAGAGGTTTCACAAGAATATTTGGTTATTTGCAGCTTTTGCCTGGAAGTTTTATGATCCAAGGATCATAGAAGAAGGACGTATCAAGAGTAAAGAACGCGATTAAAAATTCAACTTCAAAGCAAAAAATGGTTAGAAGGAAAAGGAGATCATGAAGGATCATATTGATAAGGAGAAAAAAAAAGAGGGAGTAGACTCTTATATTTCAAGAAATTTTTAATTAATAAATTGTTTTTAAACATTGAAGCTTGATTTCTCAATTGTATTTTTTTGCCTGACAGCGAAAAGTGAATCATTCATATCTTTTTAACCAGATATGCAAATGAGTTCAAATTTTTAGGGTTGCTTCTTTATAGATAGAACTGCAATAGCTTACTAATCTTAAAATTGTTTCCATTTGAATATATTCATATTTTACCTTAGGTTTTTGTATCAATAATTTCCTTTAAAATTGAAAAAGTTGCCATTTTAAAAATTATTATTATTTTTAGTTTTTCTAGTAAGCTTTTGTTTATTACACTATAATCTATCAGTGTTGTAAGTTTTAGCCTATAATGTCATAAAGAGGCTGAGAAAATTTTGTTTCCTTTTTCATTAACTTTTTTGCATTTTATGCTGATTCAGCACATAAACTAATTTTTTTTGAGCATTTTTAATTATATTAACAAGTATGTTTCTTATAAACTAATTTCGGTACATGATTAAGCGGGCAATCAAAAAATAATTTTTTTACCTGATAACCACCTTAATGCACTGTTAATGCACTATGCTTTCCTAGATTAAGATATTCTAAGCCTCTAACCTGATGAGCATTATTTATGCAGATGAAACTAACTTATTTGAATCCCACACTGATGTTTACAAACTTTTCTCAAAAACTAATAATGAACTTATAAACATTTCTAAATGGTTTAAATGTAATAAATTAACGTTAAATACTAACAAGACTAAATGGATTCTTTTTCATTCCTTCTCAAAAAAACGTTCTTTACCAAATATTATACCTCAAATTTATATTGATGAAACTCTAATAAAATAAGGTTCTGTTATAAGATTCCTAGGTGTTTATCTTGATGAGAATATTACTTGGAAAAACCATATTAATCATATAACCACCAAGGTATCTAAAATTATTGGCATTTTTTATAAAGCCCGACCTTACTTAAGCAAAAAAAGCTTTACGCAGCTCTATTACTCATTCATACACAGCTATATAAAAAGCCTAACGCAGCTCTATTACTCATTCATTCACAGCTATATAAGCTACGCAAATATTGCATGGGGTAGTACCGAAAAAAGTAAACTACAACGTCTATATCGCCAACAGAAACATGCAATTCGCGTGATTAATTATGTGGATCGCTCTACACATTCAAAGCCTCTCTTTGATGAAATGAAAATACTTGATATCTACAAATTTAACGTTTTTAATGTTTTATGTTTTACTAATATGTGGCAAAACAATTTATCCCAACCTGTTTTTAACGACCTTTTTACATTAAAACTTGCTAATAAGTACTCACTAAGAAATAAAGATTTGCTTAATGAACCATTTTGTAGAACAAAATTTAATAAATTTTGCATTAATTATCGAGCACCTTACCTTTGGAATAAAATTGTTCTGCCTAATTTTGATCCTTTTATCCTTTTTTCTGTTTTTAAAAATGATTTAAAAAATTTTATTCTTGCTATGGATGACGTTTTAAGTTACTATTAACTTGAAGTATAAACTTGGTTTATGAGATTTATAATAATATTTATATTAATAGATTTATTTTCTTTAATTTATAACTGATCTATAAAATTTGTTATTATGGATTCTTATAACAGATTTGTGAGAATTATTTTTACAGATACGTGATTATTATTATGAATTTATAATTATATATTTATTATTACGGCCGTTTATTGGATTTATATTTTCAATTTTTATAGTATGACAAAATTGTAAAGGTTCTGATAATAAGATCAGTTGATCTTCTTTTAAAAGCCTAGTTTTCTTTGTTCTTGTAAAATATAGTATTTATTTTACGGCAAATATAAACAGTGAAAAAAAAAAAAAAAAAAAAAAATGTTGGAATGCTTTGCAGAGTGTTGTCTTGCAACATTTGCTTTGTATTACTCAGTAGCAGACTGGACACTTTGGACAAATAGGAAATTCTCTGCCTTTGCCGTATCCTGCACTATACACTTTGGATTGTACCACTTTTATTTGAATTTTTTCACGGCCCTTATTAAGTCCATCCCTGGTGTTACTAATATATTATATTACTTATACAACTTAGCTTTGCAACGCGATGGCTTTAAAGCCATTTAAAATATTTGAATTTTTAAAGAAATTTATAAAAAATTTTAAAAACCTAATAAAATTAGAAAAAATTTAGAAACTAAAAACAGTTAATTTATTTAGTTTATTTACTTAAACAAAATAAATTTATATCGTTGTGCATCACTAAATTTCATTTAATACCATTATTCTGAAAATTTAGTACTTTTATTAAAACTCCATCGCCGATTTATAAGCAAAAAAATAAAATGATTTTACGCCGCTATTCTGCAACATAACCAACTTTCTTTTAATTAAAAGAGTATTTGATCAATCTAAAACCCTTAGCTGATACATGTTGATTGTAAAATCAACTACGCCTAAATATTACTTAGTTGATGTGTACACTCTGCTAACAGAGCAGTTACAGCCTGTTTACGGATTGTTACGGCTGTATGTGCAATGGACGTTCTGCGCTTTGAATTTATATGGCTCAAGTGCATAACTTTATTTTGTTAGTGCACAAAAGTATGCAGCAACAAAAAAAAAAATCTTTGTGCAATAACTAAAAAAAAACTTTCGACACCGAGAATCGATTTTGATTTCAAAATCGAACCCTCGAACCACTCGACCACGCTTACTTTACTAGTTGGACAAAAATTGTATTTTTAATATATAACAAAAATTGTATTTTTAATAACATATACATGCAAAAATAATATTTTTTATATATTATATATATAATATTTTACATGTATTATATATCGGAAGAATAAATTTTTAGAATTGGTATCAAGTTTAGGAAGGCGATGTTAATTTATACAATTTTACACGAAATTATTGGAGCGAAAAAAAAACATTAAACTGACTTTAAAGTACTAATTAATTAACTGAAAGAAGCTCAGAGAATATAGACATAATTATATTTAAAATCGTTTTGTATTTTGTAAAATTTTTCACCCCCTCCCATCCTCCCTAAAAAAACTTTTAAATATTTTTTAGGAGGGGGAGGGGCGGGAGGGTTACAAATAAATTGTTACGTAATATTGGGGGAAGGGGGCAATAAAAGTGTTACTGATGCATTACGAGGAAGGAAGGTGGTCAAAAAATGTCAAAAATTGCGTGACGTAATTTATAGGCGATCCCAATAGCGGTTTTAACCCGTAAAATATGGGTCTTGATATGTCTATTCAACACCAACATTTCTATACTTATTAAGTGCAACATTTTTTTATAAAAAAGCATCTTTAACATAGATGACAGTTGCGTAACCATTTTTCGGCTGTCTTTAGAAACCTAACCCACTAAAGACAGATTGGTTCAGAATTGGTCAATATTTAGTCAAAATTGGTCGAAAAATGAATAAAACGTTTAGCGTTCTATTATTGACTAAAAATCGACGCTTGATTTAAAATGTATATTTCAAACTTTTTTATATATACGTTTACTAAACGTCGATCTTACGTTTAGAATATCGACTTACATTAAAAATATTGTAAACTTTTTATCGACTTTAATTAAACGTAAACATTTATAGATTTAAAATCTACACTTTAAATCATTTAACACTTAATAACAGTCGATCAAACGTTTACAATATTAACTAATATAAGTCGTTATTCTAAATGTTTGATCGACGTTTAATAAACGTCTGTTATATTATAATATAGTAATATAGCCATTTCACAGTGGGCTAGAATTCACTTTTACTGGACAAAACTAATAACTCGTCATTTAAAAAAAATTTTTTTCAAACTTTTTTGTTTATATAAAATATATAATTATTTATATATTCAAAATTTATATATTCTCATAATTTTAAAACAGCTTTAGCTTCTTTTTCTTGACCGTCTTGGTGCAATCTACAACCTGATGTAAACCATAGTTTTCTTGACCGTCTTGGTGCAATCTACAACCTTATGTAAACCATAGTTTTCTTGACCGTCTTGGTGCAATCTACAACCTGATGTAAACCATAGTTTTCTTGACCATCTTGGTGCAATCTACAACCTGATGTAAACCATAGTTTTTAAGATGAATATGATGCAACTAATGGAGTCAATCTTCTTTTCTTCGTTTTACTACCTAAAAACTCACCTGGGGCCTACCAGATACTACAGTTGGATAAGACCAGAGTTTTCTTTATCAATGGAAGTAGTCAGTAGAATTTTCTTATTATCAAATTGAACTAAAATTGGTTCATTTTGTAACCATAGTAACCATTTGTTGTTATTTTCTTCAAAACGAATTTTAGAGCTTCTGCATATATACTTTTTTCAAAGATGATTTATAAAATTAGACAAGTTATTATTTGTTAAGTTAAGTTTGTGCCATTTACAACTGCATTTAAAATATTAGGATTAGTTAAGTTCAAGTTTTTTTTTATTACATATATACAAATATAAAAATATGAATTTCATTTATAAAATCTTATAAATAGGTATTTTAAGATGTATTAATAATAAAACAAGTTTGTAACACTTATCTAGTCTTGCTGAGACCCAATTATTGCATAACCATTTAGAATAAAATACATATAATGCTTTTGCCGCATGAAATCGGATACATCATTTAACTTGTAAAAATCATTATTAGAGACTAAGCAAACATCCGCGGAATGCAAACCAAATTTATGTTGGTAATATACATATTGAATTATGTATTTTGAGTCTAAAATTACTGAACCGCTTCGGACCGTAAAAGTATTCGCCATATATAAGTGAAGTTTTAACTAAAAAAAGTACTTCAAATAAGTGGTTATTTGAAATCATTTTATTTGACATAACTTACGTGCTAAATAGTGTTGTAATAGCACATTTGAAAGATAATACTTGATTTTCTTAAATTATGCAATAAAAAGAAAGATTTTAAAACTAACATCTGTTCCATGTTTATTATTAACACAAAAAATATTTTCAAATTAAATAAAAAATTTGGAAAAGCTTTTTATTCTACAGCTTAGAAGCATGTGTCATACGTCATGTGTCATACGTCATGTGTCATACGTCATGTGTCATACGATAATTATACAAAATATATACATTTTATAAAAGCTGAACGTTTAAGCTATAAAATGGTACATAAAAATGTAATTTTTGAAAATCTATATTTTTTACTTTTTTCCACCACCTGGCCTGGTACATTGGTCAGAAGACTCAGAAAACAGCTTAAGTCACGCGGTTTAAATAGGCATGATTAAAACGAAAAATTATTTTTCATTGGCTAAATAACTAAGTTAGACTTAAATGCGTTTTCAAGATTCACTTCCTTACAACAACTGAAAGCAAAGCGATTTTTTTTTATGGAAGTTAAAAAGCTCTTTTCGCAACAATCTACCTTTTTAAATGCCAACAAGTCAAATGGACTCCGATATTCTAGAAGTTATTGAAGGCCACATTGACACAGTTAAAAAGTATGCTGGTCTCTCGTTATGAAAGTCCTGCTGCGAGAACTTTTTTTGTAAGTTTTATAAACAGTTTAAATTCATTTTGTAAACGTATGATTGAGTAACAGCAGGTACTCATCTTTTTTATAATCAAGAGGTTTAATGACTAAATATTTTTTTAACTTATTTTAAATACATTTTAGCATAGTTTAGTTACATTTGCTAAAGAAAGTTGAAAGTATAGAGCTGGTAAAAAACCACTGCATATGTTATGCCGCAACGTTACTAATTTTTTAATGTCAAAAGTAAACATAAATGGTATTCATACCTAAAAAGAGTGTACTTTTATATACTTTTCAATTTGGAAGCTTTGTTTAAGTTGTTTACATAGATTAAAAATAATAGTGGTCCGAGAATAGAACCTTGTGGAACTTTGTGGTGTTTACTTTGTTGACCATCATTACTATACACACGTTGTTTTCAATTTGTTAAATAGCTTTCAAACCATTTTAAGATTCTATTGTTTAAACCATAATCTTTGTAATTTTTTTTGTTAGCTGGTGTTTTTGTTTTCAAATATTTTATGTATAGCTTTTGTTTAGTTTTGAATGATTTTTTGAATCCTTTGGTAATCCAGGGATTATTAAAGTGTTTTGTTTTTAATGTAATTGTAACATTTGGAAAATTAGATTTGTAAACAGAGGTGGATGCTTCAATGAACTTTTTATATAGGATGTTTGCGTTTTCGTTAAAAATTTAAGTGTTTCCAATGTAATAATGAGAGCTAATTTTTGAAAGACTCATTAACTGATGGTTTAAAAAAACGTTTTTTTATAACTTTATCTAATTTTTGTTTAGGCGGTTGGTCAGTGTTTATGGTTTGAAAAATAGGAAAGTGGTCTAAAATATCTGTTTTTAAGATGCCCAATTTTATATCATTGTTAAACAAGTCTGGGGAAATAATATCATCCATCAAAGTTGCTGAACTTTTTGTTAGTCTTGGTGGACGATTTGTTAAAGGAATTGCTTCTGATTCAAAAATTGCATCATAAACATAAAAATGGCATCATAAACTTAAAAATTGCATCATAAACATAAAAATTTCTAACTTTGTTATCGTCATTATAGTCAAAAGAATTCATATTAAAATCACCAATTAGAAAGTTTTTTTTTCGTTGTTACCTTTCGCAATAACTTTTCGCTGTAATTTTGTATAAGATATGCACCATGCCTAACAAAAGTACACAACTTTTAGGTATCTATGTAAGTTATGCATTATACATTTTTTGTTAATTAACGATGGTAATATTGATACATTTACCTTTTAATTATATTTAAAAAATAATCGTAAAAGCCTAGTTGTTGACACTCTCTCTATATTGTACTTCTTTAATAACTCGACACTAAGTAATTCATATATATATTTTTTTATCATTTATTTGAATTTTCATACTATATTTTTCTATACAATGTTCTTATATTCGAAAATATTGTTGGCTTAGCATAGGATCAGCCTTAAATAGTCATAAAGACTAATCCACAGTAGCGTCCGTTATTGACTAACATTTTTGTGTACCAAAGAACTACTTAGACGCTGAGTAAGCGGTAGTAGGATTTGAACATACATCGTTTAACAGTCCGGGTTTTTAACATTTCGTTTGATGCTGTAACCAATTGAGCTATCTAGCCATATAGTTGCTTGTTATTAAAAAGGTACATTCATTTAGTTGCTTGTTATTAAAAAGGTACATATTTTTAATTATTTAACAATATATCAAAAATATTTAATCAACTTTGTTTTAATATTTTTTATATTAGTACCTCATACAGATAGGAGTTAAAAGAATGTTACAAAATTCTTAATAAAATTTATACACATATAAAGCATATATATTAGCAAGCTATTTTATTAGGATTTGATAACCTTCAAATTTTAAGAACGTACCAATAGCTTTCTTAAAGAAAGCGATTTTTGCATTCCTAATATTTCAACGTTAAAAAAGAAAATCGAAGAAACTTTCTCAACACGAAAAAGGCTACGAAATTACGCTTTCATTTAACTTAGCTTTCAATTAACTTTCAATTAACTTTCAGGCCACGAAAGTAAAAGCATTTTATTATAGAGTTAAAGAAGAAGTGAACAATTATCTTTTGTTCAACTTAACACTGCGTAAATTAAGAATTACTTGAAACAGTTAAAAGCAGTTTGAAAACTGCTTTTAACTGTTTTTGTTTGAAAGTCACGTTTTGTTTGAAAGTTAAAAGCAGTTTGAAAACTGCTTTTAACTTTCAAACAAAAACGTGATTTAGTTTCAATTTTAGCTTTAATTTTTTAATAATCACTGTTTTAAATGTATTTTTTATTAATCACTGTTTTAAATGTATTTATGCATTCAGATTACTTATCATGCTAAAATCTGGAAAAATAAAAACAAAAACAAGAGAAACCAAAACAAAAAAAATCAAAAAACCGAAACGAAAAAAAACTACATACAGAGAAAATGGTTTCTACAAAAAAGTGCAAATTAATCACATAATTTTTGTCATTAAAATCACAATGTTAAAGAGATATTGAGCTTACAGAGTAAAACGAATTTAGAGAGTACGTCAGCAGTAATATAAAAACGAGGTGATGGAGATGTTTATTCAAAGAGTACATCAGCAATACTGTTGTACTCTTGCGAAGTACTGGCCAAAGAATGTTTCATATCTTAAATGAGATGCTAAAACAACTTGGTTCTGATTACAATACTGCCTATCGGACAGCACTGATACTTCAAACTATCATGGTCAGTTCAATTGACTGTAACAATAGATACTGAAGCTGCAGACCCCTACTTGTTGTTAGTGTGATGTTCTCAACTTAGTAGTGAAATAAGCAAACCACCTGCATTCAGGTGGTTTCATTTTTTAATCTTCCGTAAAATGTTACAACATTTGTTTAAGCAAATGGTAACATGAATTAAATTTGTTGAAACACAAATTGGAAAAGACAAGATAAAAAGTTGGAAATTCCTAGACAAAACTAGGTGGTCGGTTAAATCAAATGCTGCAAAGACTATATTTGCAAATTAGTTGAACCATCTGCGACATTGCTTGTCAATTTGATTTCATGTCTGGCAGTGTTGGGGAGTATTTTAAATAATAAGTGTTTAAAGTACTATTTTAATTACTTTCTTTATATTTGTTTTTGTATTCTAAATACATTTGTTGGAAGTATTCTAAATACATTTGTTGGAAGTATTCTAAATACATTTGTTGGAAGTATTCTAAACACATTTGTTGGGAAGTATTCTAAATACATTTGTTGGAAGTATTCTAAATACATTTGTTGGAAGTATTCTAAATACATTTGATGGAAGTATTCTAAATATATTTGTTGGAAGTATTCTAAATACATTTGTTGTATTTGTACTTAAGATACCTTTGATTAATATATTTTCGTACTCATTGAAAATACTTGTAACTACATACCGCTTAAAACATTCAAAATGCACATACACCGCACACGAACAACGAAATTAATTGTTCTATCATAGTGTCACTATGCCACTTTTTATTCTGAATTAGGGTTTCATTAGGGTAATTTTTAAATCATTCAACAGTAATCAATTATTTTAAATTAAAGATAGCTGTCGTGTAAAAGTGAAAACGAAACGACTTCTGATGAATGAAAATCATAAAATGATGAAGTTTTACCAACCACCGTAGATGGTACCTATTTACCAACCACCGTAGATGGTACCTATTTCGAAATCGTAGCCTTATCAAAACAAGTAATAAAATATCAGCAATATGCTTATTATGTGTACGTAATTCGAAGCCAATATCGGACAAGCTTGCGGCAGCATCAAATTTTTTTAGACATTTAAAGGTAATATTAATTCGGTATTAGTTAAAATTAATTTATTTTATCTATAATAAAAAATATGCAATTTATTATCAACAAACAAATACTTAAAGTTGCATTAAAAATGCAGTAAAAACTAATATTAATTGAATTTTATAATACTTATTTATTGCAAAGTAAAACTTTTTAAAGGGTTTACTGTATAGACTGCATACTCCTACAAGAATTGCTTTAGAGACTATAAGGCAAATATTACATACTGCGGAAAGTGTGGAGTTTTCCTCCACATTGGTGTGTAATTATCACTCTTAGACACAAGTGTGGAGTTATTTTGCACGCTTTTGTACAAATAACTCCACACTTCTGTGCAGAAGTCGAGTTAAAAAAAGTTAATTTCCTCAAAAGTGTACAAAATAACTCCACACTTGTGTCTAGGAGTGATAGCTACAAACCGGTGTGGAGGAAAACTCCACACTTTCCGTGAGCGTGTAAGAGAAAGCGTAAGCTAGTCAAGACTGGTGTAAGAAGAACGGCTGATAAAAACCTTGCTAAGAAGAAGTTCAAACAAACTACTTAACATAAAGCAGCATTGGAATTATCAGTGCGACGTTATATTATTTTGGTAGAAGAAGTTGACAACGGATTACATTGCTGAAGAGATGCATTCTTTGATTACAGTTGTACGTTTAAATACAAAGCTTTCTAAGATACATGAAAAAATAAAAAACAAACTGAAAATCAATGAAACCTTTGTTTGCACGACTATCTTGTCAGTCAATAGAAAAGGTTATCTTGGCGTGACTGCACACTCTATTGAAATGCCTCTTGATGATTCGGTTTCACAAGCATTTGTATCCCATACTTGCTATCAATTTTATAGTAGTCACGCATATGACGCCGTTCACTGAATATATTGGAAAGTAATGATGCTAATCAAGTGATAACGGCAGTACATTTAAGCGTACCTACCTTCCAGGTCTGGCAAAATACGCATTAATATGTAATGCAATTCAACAAGGTAGTAAAGCATCGGATGCTGTGTCAAATATTACAGACAAAGCAATACTCTACTCCGTGCCGTACTCTTCCCCGTGTCAACACGTTGGAATTCTCGGTACGATGCTATTAAATGATAACTTGAACTATGTGAAAAATAAAATACATGATGCTTTGAATGCGCTAAAGTTTAAAAAGTAAGGATTAGAATGCCTGCAAAAATATGCCATGGTCATGAAACATGTTGCTCCAACATAGGTACTTTGCAAATGAGATAATGTGTATTATGGTAATGTGTTTCCACATTTGCATAGTTTACAGGTTTTTGTTGATATAATAATGACACTTCAAATGCTGATACAGCAAATGGCTCTCAGGAAGAATGCATGTTGTATTTGAAACACTGATAACTATTAAGTATAAGTAAACTATAGATTATGTATAAGAAAACTTTGATAAAAAGACGCATCATGAAGCTAGGAGATTGCTAATGTCATTCCTAAAATTAGAAATCATTTTGACTGCCTTTACGAATCTGCAAGTTTTTGGAAAGGTGGGCTTTACATATAGATTTAACCACAAAGCTTTTAAAATTTCTATCACATTTATAAAATTATCTGTGGTTTTCTGTAAAATTTCTGTAACACAAGTTAAATGAGAAAAATTCTTTTGAAAGTTAAAGTTAATTATGACGAGATTGAGAAATTCTTTCGAATGACCTCTAGGAGTCATATAAGTTGATATTTGTCAAGAAAAGTCTGTTTGATCACTTTGAGTGTGATAAATTCAAAGTTTTTTTTTTTTTTTTTTTTTTTTTTTTTTTACATTATTCACCTCCCCAAGGCCCGAGGGGGCCACTACAGTCGAGGAGGCTACTAATTTTTTTGTGTTTTTTATTTTTTTGTTGTATTTCGTGGTACAACCCTCTCTCAACTCTTTAACTCCGAAACACGAACCTTAACAAGCAAGGCCGCTGCGCGGAGAAACTAAGTTGAGCGCGGTACTTCCAGGGACGTGGTGGGAGTCGAACTCCGAACCTCTCGCTTACAAAGCGAGCGCTCTTACCACTACACCACTGCCGCATAGCAAACTGCTTAAATTTATTGCTATACTTTGCACATCACTATGTACTTTTTAAATTTATTATAAATTGATCAGTATGTGAAGAAAGTTGCGGGTCGTCTTAGCTATGTGAAGAAAGGGTCGTCTTAGCAGGATATATATTTCTTAATTATTTGCCTAACCGATAAAATATATTTAACCAGTCCGCCGTAGTTATTATTTTAATTTTTGTTATTATTATTGTTATTATTACTATTATTGTTATTATTATTATTATTATTATTTTATTATCATAGTAGTTACAGTTATTATTTTAATGACGAATTGTAAATATGTTTACGTGGTAAAAGTACAAAAGAGGTCAAAATCAATAAAGAATAAGTAAGATCATTTTGTTTTCTTCGAGTGTATTTTTAAAAACTGTTCACATTCCGACATTAAACTCCCTGTAAAAATGTTTTAGGAGTATTTGCGTGAGTTATATTTTATGAGACCCTGATTTTTACTTCCTTTGTTACTTGCATTAAGTTTTTTGTATTCACTTTATGAATCTTACATAATTTCTTTGTCATCCAAAAAAGAATTTTTAACTGAAGCTGTGATCTTAAAGGGTACTTTATAATTTAAAAGATGGATAAATAGATTTATTTTATTTTGTTGTTTACAAAATGAAATCTCTTATTAAATAGAGAAATTATTTTTTTTTACTTGAAGTATACTTGAAGACATTAAAAAAAGACTTGGTCGAATTCCTTACAGGTTAATCAAGTTTTTGCATTGTTAACGTTATTGTTAGTAATGTTTTTGTTTGCAAATTTTTTAGATGAAATTTAATATTTATTGATATGCTTGTATGACAATTTATACAGATGCTAACTAGCTCAAAACTCAAAGCAGATTACAATGTATGTGTGATCAATTGTAACCAGCTTTGAGTTTTATACAGCTAATATACTATATTTTCTAAAAAAATTATAACATTGAGTTGATATTTTGCATTTAAAAATTATTTTAAACGTTTGTTTCTAGGGAGTTTAATATCGTACTTTTTACTAGCTACTTGCAAATTGAATATTATTCTAAAAGTGTTTGTTGTTATAAGCGACAAACTTTTAGAGCTTCAATACCCAGCTAGCACACCCATACGGGATCCGTACGGTTTTAATCTGGGCATCCGGTACGGGCTAAATCTGGTATTTTTCAATGGGATTTATCTGGGATTTCCCGGATGCGCGCGCAACCATGTGAACTTAAGATAATTTTAGCGCCTATTTAAATATCTGGCATGTTCGTTTTAAAAGTAAAGTAAAATTTTCAACTTTATTTATTTAACTGTCATGAGTTCACAAAGAACGAAACGACAAAAAATTGCTGCGGTGGTGGCAAAAATTGTTGAAGAGGTTTCTTCTAGTAACAAATTAATTCATGAAAAATTTGTAGAGGATAATAAAGTTGATGAAAATATATATGAAGGTTCAAGCATGAATGACTGCCAAATGGAAAACAATACTACTGAATTTTATGATAATCAAGATTGGCTTGCACATTCTAATGATGATTCTGATAACGAAGAGCTAAACCCAAACGAAAATAGCTTAGATGAGGATCTAGGAAAATGGGCAGTCAGTTTTAAAATATCTCACAGTGCTTTAGACAGTTTATTACCGGTTCTGAGAAAATATGGATTAGATTTGCCTAAAGATTCTAGATCGCTTTTACACACAAAAAGACATATTGAAACCAAATCTGTTGCAGGTGGTGAGTATTATTACATTAGATTGCAATTTTGGCTTTCTCTACTATTAAAAAAATCTCTTCTTTCAACAGATCTTTTAGTTTTTACTTTACATATCAATATCGATGGTATTCCGCTGTTTAATAACTCAAGCATATCACTTTGGCCAATTCTAGGTTCTTTTTTAGAGTTTGAACAGAGCGTTTTTCCGATCGGTTTATTTTCCAGTTCTTGTGAACCAAATTCTATTGATAACTATTTAATAGATTTTATTGATGAAATGAAACGTTTTCAAGAAGTTGGTGTTATCTGTGACAAGACTGGAAAGGCATACAAAATAAAATTAGAAGCAGTTATTTGTGATGCACCAGCTCGGTCATTTCTTAAGTGCATTAAAACACATAATGGATACAATTGTGAACAATGTATTCAACATGGTGAGTGGTATCCAAAAATAGTTTTACCTAACTTATCTGCTCCACTAAGGACTAATATAGACTTGTTAAATCAACATGATTCAGAACACCATACTGCTACATCTCCTTTCACAAAGTTAAAATATAATATGGTAAGTGGATTTCCAATAGATTAGATGCATTGCATTTGTTTCCGTCTTTTTTTGATTTATACAAGGCCAGTGGTTTTGAAAGGATTATTGTTACCAGATCATTATCAAAATTTTATTGACTTATCTGTTGCTGTCAAGATTTTATTGTGCACTTCTTTACTTAAACATTATTCTGGTTATGCTGGTCAGTTGTTGCAATACTTTGTGCAGACTTTTGAAGAGCTATATGGTAGAGATCAGCTAGTATATAATGTTCATTCATTAATACACTTAGTTGATGATGCAAAACGCTATGGTGCACTTGACAATTGCTCTTCATTTAAATATGAAAGTTATCTTGGTCAGTTAAAAAAGCTTGTTTGCAAGGCTCAATCACCTTGTTCACAAATAGCCAAAAGAATATTTGAAAATGCTGATATTTATACCTGTCGACATAACCATATTGTTGGTTTTAGTAAATTACACACTGAAGGTCCTGTAAATATAACACTAAGCCATTACCTTCAATTCAAACAGTATCAAAATAAGAAGTATTTTATGTCTAACAGTGTTGGAGATAATTGCTTTGAAATACATGGTAAAATTGGAGTTGTTAGAAATATTTTACAACCCACTACCAGTGATGATAATGCTTATATTCTTTTTGAAGAGTTTGTTATCAAAGAATCTTTTTTTAAAAATCCATGTAATTCTCAAAAGTTGAGTATTTTTATAGTTGAAAGAAGTGAAAGAAGATGGTTTGTATGAATGTTTACGGCTCAGTGGCGTAGTAAAAAAATATATTTGTTTACCATATAAAAATAAATTTATTGTAATGCCCCAATTGCACTTTTGAAACATTTTGAGATTTTGTATTTGTTTTTTTAATTTTAAATTTTTATATCAGATTTTTATGTGTTTACCGTATCAGTAACACTAATCTGTAATATAATATAGATAATATACACATCAAATGTTTATTACCTTGCTTTGAATGTTAATTTTTGAATGTAATTCATTATATCTTTGTTTTAAAACAAAATTATCATTTTGGAATATTTAAAAATTAATTTTGGTTATTATTAGTTTTAGAGTTAAGACATAATTACTGGAATGTACGCTATTGTGGTTTTTGACAATGAGATGGAAACTGAGTATATTCCCTTCAATTGGATAATTAATAAAATTCAATTTCAAGAAGTTTCAGCTTTGGTTAGACAGCGTGTAGAATTAAAATGCTACTGGCCTCCATGGTCAAATTTTAGCAAAGTCAGTAGGGCACAAAAGCTATGCTCTGAACCTGATACAGATTGGAACTCTTTTCGATTGTTAGCAGTTGCAGGTAAATTTCGGTCTGTATAATATTGTTGCTGAAATCATACAAGTATAGGGACTGTTGAACCAGAATTTATTATTTTTTTTAATAAAAAATATCTACTGTTTTAGATACAGTAGTACACAACTAGTTTTTTGTTTATTTTTCTAGTTGATTTCGCCATTTTTAATTTTTCAGTAAATTCAGCATTTCAGTGTTTATTGCTGAATACTACAAATAGATTTTAGTAATTACATTTATACAACATACTAAATACAATTTACTTTCAAAATAGTTTGTGTATAAGGTAAGTGCAGTGTTATAATTTTTGAAATTTGAATTGTAGGTAATGAGAAAGAAGCCTGGGAAAAGGTTAAAGTAGCAGAGGAGACATCTAATGTTGAAGAGATATTTATCAAGCAAAAAAGCATGGTGTAAGCTATTTTGTGTGCCTTAAATTTACATTAACTTACATAGCAACATTCTTGTTTTTCTGTCTACTTTTTTTGTTTTAAATAGGCTAGAAAAAAAACTGTCTAACAACAAAGATGATGGAATTGAGAGTACTGATTCGGAAAGTAAATACAGCAACAGGTGTTCTGTTTGTTTTTCAATTATTTTAAGTAATTCTAATTGCATTAGTTTTTTTGCAAAATATTATTTCTCTGTTCTTGTCTTTTATGTGTCTGTAATAATATTTTAAATTAAATAAGAAGTTTTAAAAAAATTGTTAAAAAAGTCATAGAAGAAAGAAAAGAAAGATGTCAGAAAAGCTTCCTAGGCCTGTAATACCAGAGATAGAGTTTGGTAGGAAACAAATTTTACTATATATGGAATGATTTAAATATGATAATCATCAATAAAATAATTCATCAGTGCATGAGTAAAATCAATTTTCAATTAAATTATGTATTGATTATTAGGGTGGTCCAAAAAACAACATTTTTGAAAAAAATCTGCTCCACAACCCTAAATGTGTTCTATATAATACAAACACACTAGGTTTACAATTTTTTTGAATAAAAAATATTTTTAGCCCCTGACCCTTAAACATTTGACGGGTCCCTAATATTTTGAGAAAAAAAGTTCTTGTAAAATATGTCAGCCTGGCACTCAAAAGAAGGGAAATTATATTAAAAATTCAAAAATATTAATAATTTTTATATAAAAATTATGAATAATTTTCGTGCATCATTGCATAAAAACTGTTGTTTTTAAGCTGAAAATCAAATTCTATTTTATGTAAATTAATTAATATTTTTGAATTTTTAATATAATTTCGCTTCTTTTGAGTACCAGGTTGACAAATTTTAAAAGAACTTTTTTTTTCAAAATATTAGGGACCCATCAAATGTTTAAGGGTCAGGGGCTACCCTTAAAAAAATATTTTTTATTCCAAAAATTGTAAACCTAGTGTTTTTGTATTATATAGAACACAATTAGGGTTGTGGAGCAGATTTTTTTCAAAAATGTTGTTTTTTGGACCACCCTATTGAATTTATAAATAAAAAACTGTAGCTATACTAATGCAATATGAAATAAAAATATTGATTTTGAGTTAGTAGGGGATGATCATTTTGAGAATAGAAATAGTGCATTGTTTACTGTGTTATGCACAAAATCATCAGGTAAAGTTTATATTGTTGATACATGTTGATACAATTTTCATATCATTCTTTACTACTTTTTTTTTTTTTTTAAAGAAAAGGAAGTTCAACACAAAATAAAACATGTTTTGATTTCGAGTCAGAAATTGTTGTTAGGTCAAAAGATTTGACTGGTCTTTCTTGTAACACGACTCCGATGTTGAAAACTTAAGGTTATACTAAATCAATAAAAAACTTCAAAATTGTTGCTTCTATTTGTTTTTTAAAAATTTATGACATGCTTTCGATCAAAGGTATATAAAAATGGTATCCAATAAAATACCATTTTGAGTTATTAAGGTTTTTTGTTCTTTTGAATTGGTTTTTTAATGTTTAATTTTTACAAACAGAAAAATTGTTGTTGAAAATTTTGGCTGCACAAGAAGAAATAAAAGAGAAAAAAAAAAAAAAAAAGAAAAGAAATAAAAGAGACCCAAAAGTTACATTCAGCTATGTTGCACAACATTCAGCAAAAAATTGATGCAACAAGGTATTTTGGAGGAACAATTTGAATTAAACTTACCTCTTAAAACAATTGAAGACCTGGAAGCTTTTGAAGATAAGTTGAACGATGAAGATTTAAAAAAATATTTGGTAAATTATTAAGGTTTTCTTACATTTAATATATATTAAATAAAGTTTAGGTTTATATTTTTAAATATATCAAGTTGGATATTAGTAAATCTGTTTTTCATGTCTTTCATGCTCTTTTCATTTCTTTTTCATGAGAAACATGAAACTATTTTAAAAAGTCATAAAAATCATACATCATTAGCAAAACTTCAAACAGATTACTAGTTTGTCATGAATGTAGTTTCTAAATTCAATAGGTTAAGATGTTAAATTTTTCATGGCACTAGCCTAGTGCCATGGAATAGTTCCATAGGTTTTTATTAAATACCCATATGTTTTTCAATGATAAACTATCATCAAATATGAATCTAATCATTTAATATTTTGGTGTAAAAATTATGCTGTTTAGTAAAAATTTTGCTGTTTAGTAAAAGTTATTTTCATTATTTATTAACTGAATTTAATAAATTATGAATTTAAATATTGGTAGTGATATGCTAAACCCCATTAGTATTATGAAGAAAGTTGGGTTATGTTTAAGAGTTCAACTAATTTGTTGAGGGGGTACACAAACAGAGCTTGCCCTAAATGTTAACTGATTTTATTTTCGTCTTTTTTTTAAAACCATGTAATAAAAAAGTTATGATTTTTGAATCGCTATCATTTATCACTTTAACTTACTTAATTGATTTTGTAATTTGTTTTTGTAATTTTATTTTCAGGTTCAGGTCCTTGTAAATAATGGTAATACGAATGTAACAAATTTTGTAAGAAGGAACATGAAGTATTTATTTTCTAATGAACTGGCATGAAAATATAACCTAAATGGCCAGAAAAATATAAAACCATTTCAGCCATTGCAGCTATTTCAAATAATGTTTTGTAAGCATATTATGACATATCTCCTTATTTTCTTCTTTTAGTGAGTATATTGATTTTTTTATTGTCATATGTAGTGAAAAAAATATTGGTACTTTTACCCTATCTTATGTTAATAATTTTTTTTTCAAAATATTTTGAACTTTTTATATATATTTAAGACTTGATAAGAATTTAAGTGTCTGAAAAATGACTAGTTAAGGTCATCTAAAGTATGGCTTAAGTTGGCCTCAACACATTACTTCAAAATATTATGATTTGATTTACATGGAATACTCACTAAATCAAATCATAATATTTTATAGTAATAAACCTCGATTTTTTTATAGTAATAAATATCGACATATTATGCTGAGACAACCTAAAGCCATATTTTTGGATAAAATATATTGCAAAAGCAATGTAACTATAGTAGCATTTCTTTTGCACTCTATTTCAACTAACGTATGTTTAGGTGCCGCAAAAAAAAAAAAAATTCAACAACAAAATTTATCAAAAAAACTTCTTGGAGCACTTTCTGCTTGGTTTGGCAATGCTCGAGATAGAGGCAAAGATGGACGAAAAGAACGAATTTAGAAAGCAGCATCTAACACAGAGAAGAACATATAGAATGCAAAACTATATACTTTGCAGCAAACATGTAAGGTAAAGTAATCTGCATAGAACACTTGTGTATATATTTATTACGTATGTAATAATAGTTTATTTTGTTAATAAAACGTACATGTATATGTCCTTGTGTTTTCAATTTGCATATAAACACTTAGCTTTTAAAACTTAAAAAAAAATCATGATTAAATTGATCATTTAATTTGTTCAAAATGGAAAAAATTGCTTTAAACGAATTATCATTATTTTAAGGTATAAAAAATCTAATTTATAAATCGTAAAAAATAATAAAGTATATCCGGGAAAAATTCGGGGTCAATACGGGAAAAAAGAAAAAGTAGCCGATAAATTTTTCGTTTTTTTTTTTTTTAAATTTAGCCCGTATTAGCCCTTATAGATCCCGCGGCCAAATCCCGTACGGTTCCCGGTTGAAATCCCGTATGGTTTCCTTATGGTTGTGCTTGCTGGGTAAAGTTCATGCTGTGTACTCTTATTTTTTCTCATTCGCTAAATATAAATGAAATTCCGATGAATGAATTCATGAGCTTATCCGGTCAAGTAACCTAAGCTTACAAAGTGTAAGATATGTAAAATAAATTTAAGTTGTACAAAATAAATTAATTTTTTATTTAATAAATAGTCGTCGTAATTTTTACAAGTTTTACATTTAAATTGTTGTAATAAGCAATAAATATTTAATTACTATGATGGTATTAACTTTTTATCAAATTAAAAAAGTATAGCACCAAAGATTTCACCCTTTTGATCACAAGTTTCTCAAATTAGTGCATCAAGGAACTTGTTGCATTTAATCTTCAAAATCTTGTAGCTTTCAATAGCTATCCGCTCTACAGGCATTAGTATAACAGTAGAGTAGTCATTATAAAAGACAACCAAGTTGATAATTAATAGACTGTTTCCAGTAATACCTGGTTGTGAAAACAAACCAAGCGCACATAGTAGGGATCGCACTTTTACTTATTTTAATGTAAAAACGCGATTTACTTTTAAGCGTAAATTACTTACATAACTCATATTAAAATATATAATTCACTTTTAACATTTTTTCACATTTAAAAGTAATTTTTTTTTATTACATAAATTATATTACAAGTAAAACTTAATTACATAAATTTAATTACTTAAATTCGTAACTGTTACTTGAAAAAGTAATTTATTTTTACAAGTAAAAATAAATTACTTTAAAAGTCGTTTACTATTTCTTGAAAAAGTAAATTACTTTTTCAAGTAAGTCGTTAAAAAGTAATTTACTTTGAAAGGTAATTTCAATTTTACTTACTCGCGAAACTTACATTGAAAAGTAATTTACTTTTTATATGTAAAAAAGTTCTTTTCTGAGATAAGGTAAATATAATGTTTGAAAAATGTAACACTTACTTTTAAAAGTAAAATAAAAGTACATCAAAAAAATAAATTACTTACATGTGTAAAAGTAACTAATTAGCAAAGGCAACTTAAATAAAAGTAATTTGAAAAAAAAAAGATTTACTATTAAAAATAAAAGTAAAGTTTTTTTTCAAATACTTATTTAGTAAAAAAGCAAACTGTAAATTACATTATTTACTTCTTCAAAAAACAAAGCCATTTTACAACATTTTTTTAAGGTAGGTAGTTTATTAAAAAGCATTAGTTGATTGGTACATCTGGGTTATACTACTCGGAATTATTCAGATGTATGTGGGCCGTTTTTGGCGGGGGCATTATAAATTATACAAGTAGGGGCTAATATAGTTATAAGGGTGGATTTGTAAAAGTAGGATAGCGACGGCGAGGGCCTTTATTTTTTCGTTTAGACCGAAAGTAGATTATTGGTCCTAATGAAACATTTAAATGCGTTCAGGGGGAGGGCATAGTTTTAATTTTTTTGTTACTTTTTAAATTATTTTTTAGCTGCCCCCAAAAAGTCTGTACGGTAGGGAAGAGTCGGGTAGCCCCGGACACTTCAGGAAAATATAGATCGTACACATGTGCTAACATAAAACAAAGTGTCAAAAGACTTTTTTAAAAAGTTTAAACATTCATCTATCGAATTTGAAACAAAAAAATAATTATTGTGTATCTTAATAATATACAAAACATAAATGAAAAAAAATGTTAGAAAAACGGCATGTTTCAAAGTTGGAGGGTAGCCCCGGACACATAGTTTAACCATGATTTTACCTCTTTTTTACAAGTGTAACTCAAATGTAATATATAATAAATTAGCATTGGACTGTTCTCGACACATTTTTTAAAAAATCGCCTTTAAAAATTGCCACCGGTATATAAGGAGTGAGAATGAAAATGTCATTATTTAAAAATATAAACATAGGTTTTTTTTATAATGGAAATAAACCCTTTAAAAACACTTTTTTCAAATCTAATGTTTTTTTATTGGAATTGAATGAGTTGCTATTATAGATTTGTGCATTATATTAAATGTATTAATATTTATATAAAAAAGTTGTTTATTATTATTATGTAAACGAAATAAGTTGTCCGGAGCCACCTCCAATCATGTGTCCGATACCACCCGATCATACCTCATTCACAAATACTAGTTTTAAAACCAGTGAATTAAAGTTTTAAACGAACTTTTTCTTTAATAACTATTGTAAATAAAAATGCATCTTTAATCATTAAAAAGTTATTAGTTTACATAACAATTAGGTATATTAATATGTGAATCAAATATGATGATACGTCGATCTTCTGGTGGTGGGAAACAAAATCTTGCCCTCTCAGTCATTCGCTTCGACATATTATGATAGATATTTTGCATATGCCATATTTTCACTCAAATAATGTTGTTATAGTATTAAAAGTCATATAGCTTCTTTAGTCGGGGCTACCCGACTTTCCCCTACAGAACCCCGCGTAAAAGCATTTAAAATAGCGCCTCCTAACCGATGCACAGTAGAGCAGAACCTCAAAAAATTGGCCATAATTCAAAATTTTTTGAAACTTTATAAGATGATTTTTATTTTTTTATTTTAATGAATTATGTTGCTTATATTATCTAGTTTTGTTATTTTTGTTAATTGACAGAACCGCTAAATGGATTATAAAGATGTCATTTTTGTAATAAATTTCCATTAAAAAGATACAAACGTTTTCAACGCAATTATTTTTTTATTTATTAATAAACTTTTTTTTTGTCAGAATTTTTAAAATATCTTAAATTCTACGTCAAAAAAGTTTCACCTCATTAAAGTTAAAAAAAAACTTTTAAAAATTACTCTCAAAAATGCTGAAAAATGCAACATTTTGTAAATTTTAATTTGTTGTTTGTTCAAAAGACATCCTATTTAAGCTAATCAAACACAATCTTTATTAAGTTCAGGTTACGGTAATATTTCGTTAAAAAATTTAGCTGCATATATTCATGCATTTTGAATAATTTTTAGCTACAACATTCAACCTTTTTTATGCTCTTACATTCTCAAAGTATATATAAAATTTGTTTAAAAAATATACAAATGCGAAAATTTTATAAATACCAATAACCAATTCACTTTGTGTGGTTGACTTTACTTTTTTGTTAGAAATTTTGTTTTTGTTTTGGTAAAAAGACATTTTTTAATAATTTTTATCTTCTTTAAAGCCGAGAAATGTTGACGCATTTGCAAATCCCGCTTTTTAAAGTGCGAGTTCAATTGGCTTAAGGGTTTTTTAGTCAACAAACCGATTGCTGCAAGAAACAGTGTTTTTTATCCTTCTTCATCTATAAGTATTTCGAGATCTCTCGATGACTCAAACAAAAAAAAAGAGGTTTTTTATCTTTAAACAATTAATTTTAAGTCTATAACTAGTATTTGTAAATGTCATTCATTTATAAGTGGCGGGATAACTCAGATGGTTAGAGCGTTAAAGAAAAATTTAAAACCCGGACTGTTGAACGATACGAATTCAAATCCCGCCACCGCCAACTCAGCGCTTGAGTAGTACTTCGGTACACAAAAATATTGGTCTATTGACCAACATTTTTGTGTACCGAAGTACTAACGGTAAGTTAGTAACGGTAACGAAGTAATAACGGACGCTACTTCGGATTAGTCTTAATGACTATTTGTGGCTGTTCCTATGCTAAGCCAACAATATCTTCGGATATAAAAACATTGCATAGCAAAAAATATAGCATGAAAACTCAAATAAAAAATAAATAAATAAATAAGTATATTTTTATAACTATGTTTGTAAGTATATTTTTGATAAATTTTTTTTTATAAATGTCTAAAGTACAAATGCTGGGATGAGAAAGCACATCGTACTAAAAGGCGAGCTTCAAATATTTTATCAAAAACTACCTCTATTGAAAAGCTCTTATTTGCTGCATCGTGATGCAGCAAATAAGATGCATCGGCTGCTGCTAAAGCATTGCAAAAACTTGATTTGGCATACGTCCTAATGCATTTAAAAGAAGAACCATCAAGTGCAACAAGTATTCTTAAAAGTTCTTAAAACGAGTTCTTAAAATGCGACTTAAAGCCTAATTTTAAATCATCATTGACTCCTGAGGATTCTATTGCATTGATGATCTCGACAGATTTGACTAGAAATGCTTATCGAAAGCTTAGAAATAATGCCAAAAAGAACAATGCTGTACTTTATCCAAGCTATCGCAACGTACTACATGCTAAACAACTATGCTATCCTAAGAATATAATTGTTACGGAGTCAAAATGCGAGGTATCATTGCAAGATCTGCTGAATAATACAAGTTGTCGATTACTGCAGTTATTTCAAGTGCAATCTAAAGTTAAAAACTTGGTTGAAATATTTGGTAAAACATTATTTCTAAGCGGGAAATAAGGCTTTGACGGTGCATCTGGACAAAGTATGTACAAACAGCAATTTTATTTGGACGATAGCAGCTCTGATAAGCACATATTTGCAACAATATTTGTTCCACTTGATCTTTCTTTTGAGAATATATTAATGTCTTCTGGCAAACCGTCTAGTTCAATTTGGAGAAATCAAAAACCTTCGTCTTCTCGATTTTGTATGCCAATTAGATACAGTTTAAAAAAGAAGACTTTATTTTATTACGAAAAGAAAAAGAGTATATACAGAATCAAATAGCACCATTAAGAGACACAATAGTAAGCTTACCAAATGAGCAAAACGAACTAATTCAGCTTAGAATTAAGTATAATCTGGTGCTTTATACTTAATTCTAAGCTGAATTAGTTCGGGGGGGACGGGGGGAGATAAACTAAATGCTATAAAACGATATCCGTTAAGGACAAGGAAAGCCTGTTAACCATAAACTAAAAAATTTGTGCACCACAAATTATGGAGCACACAGCTTTTATTATTACTTGGGGACCTTAGTTACTGAAAAGAAGGTTTATGGTAACAGCCTTCTTTTTAATTGCTTTGCTGTTGTTGATAGTTACCACGCTGACTTAAAGATCTTAAAGAAGGACGATGACGATAGACGATTTAAAATAGTCTTTTAAAACAAATGAAAATTTAGGTTTTCACCTTTTTGAAACTAATTTGAACCTAAAAAAAAAAAATTAACCTTTTGAAAACCACAACAGCTTCTTATAGGCTACTAAATGAGCTGAACTATAGTTTATTTTACCGTTTCTTTTTTAATACTTTTTTAATAACGTCTTTTTGCGTTTCCGTTGTATTTTTATAACAACTTTAGAATCACTAGGTTTATTTTAATGTTTTTGATGTATATTGCAATGTTTCTATTTTATAAGTATTTTTTAATAACTAGTCATATAATTTTTCAGAGCCTTCAAACATTCGATCCTACTGAAAATTGATGCGTCTTTTGTGAAGCAAATTTAATAATAATCTAATTAGCGAAAAAATCTACCAACTGTAACGGAAGATTCTATAAAACTATCAATAATGGCTTCTAATATTATACCATAAATGACACAACATATGTCAGATCAAATTTCTTCAAACATATTTATTATATTTTGGCATACTGCAGTAAGCCAAAAAAATAAGCTCAAAGAATAGTTTTAATAGCTAAAGCCATAACCGGATTAAGATTATTTGTTACCCGGGGATTATTTTTAAAGTACTTTCTTTTTTTTGAGTGCTACAACATCTAAAGTGATTTAAGAATTTAAAAAAACGGTCCTTTTGAATATTTAATGGCCGCTGCCTAAACCTAACCATCATCACATAGTCTAGTTCTGCCCAATATAGTCATGGACCGGGAGTAAGAATGGTTTTAATCGGCAGCATTTTGATGCCTATAAATCAAATACTGATATATCAAAATTTACAAGGGAAAAAAAAAGCTAAAACCACTCACAAAAAAAGTCGCCGAAAACTAAACGTTAGTTACTTTGATGCAAGTTGTACTTTTTGAATTCCACTCGGTTGCACAATATCCTCTCTAATTTTTTTTAGAATATAAGTAAATTTACTTACTTATAAAATATAAATTATTTTTAGTTTACTTTAAAAATTATATAAAATATAAGCTTATGTAATAGAATTTTTTCTTTATATAATTTATTTTTTACAACAATTTTTTTTACTTACATAAAGAAAAATGAAAATTTATATAATATTATTTTATTAGTAAATTTTATTTATATTTGGTCGCCTATTACTTCTATGTAATTCTTTTTCATATAAAAGTTTTTTTTACAATTACGGTAATATAATATTTTTTTTATAAATTATTTTTATAAATGCAAATGTAAATGTAAATTACATTTTGAGGAACTATTAAATTATGTAATGTAATTTGAAAAGTAATTAATATTTATCTGTAAAAGTAAATTGTTTTTTAATGAGACTTACTTTTACAAGTAAAAGTAAATTACTTTTTGATGTGATCTGTTTTTGAAAGTAAAAAAACTTACTTTATAAAGTAAAAGTCGTTTCATAAAAATTAATTACTTTTTTGTAAATGTAAATTTAATTTGAACGGTGACAATTACTTACATAATAAACTTTTTCAAAAAAATTTACTTACTCGTGTAAGTAAAAAAAAAAAGTAAGTAAAAGTGCCATCCCTAGCACATAGATTATGTAGTTTGCATATCTATTAATACAGTTTACTACTTATATAAATATGTTTATGAGGAACATGATTGCGCTGATTTTTACAAAAAATCAACACGTTTTTAGATTGTCGCTTTGTTTCAGCGCCAAGAGCTCTGAGTATTTCATAAGCGATATTGATATGTGATATTTCACGTGCTATCCGCCTTCAAAGCAATCTTTTTTAGAACCAGAGAATACATTTTTATGAAGGAGAAGAAAATACAGGCTGTGTTTCACAGCGTGACACTCGTCTGCTTGGTAAAATTAAATGATGAAAATAATATAGAACGTTGCCATTCTTTATCACTTTGTTTTTGATGCTAAAAATAATAACAATTATAAAAAAAAATAACAAGTAAAAATCAAGACGAAGAGACAGACGAGTGATTGATGTATAAAACCAATCTAACTTGCAAAATATTTCAAAATAGTTTGTCTCACAGAAACCTGGTGTTGAGACAAACAAGCTAAAAGCAATTTAAATGTTGAACTAATAAACTTTAAAGTTATTCATCAATTTAGAATCTCTGAAATAATAAATGGAAAAATATTTTTATCCATAATTCTCTATGCTTTTTAAACACAAACAGAATTTAGTATAATGAGTAAGGATTGGAAATAATTAACTATTGAAATTATAAATAAAACATTGAAAAATGTTGTTGTACATGCTTTTTACAAACCACCATATGGTTTTCAAATTTTTTGAAAAACACATTAAAAAATTAATTTTTTATCAAGCTGTGGTAAACATGTTTTTTTGTGGGGTAATTGCAATGTGTTCTATTATTTTTTTGTGGGGTATATTAATTGCAATGTGTTCTATTATTTTTTTGTGAGGTATATTAATTGCAATGTGTTCTATTATTTTTTTGTGGAGTATATTAATTGCAATGTGTTCTATTATTTTTTTGTGGGGTATATTAATTGCAATGTGTTCTATTATTTTTTTGTGGGGTATGTTAATTGCAATGTGTTCTATTATGATATTAATTGCAATGTGTTCTATTATGATGCAAGTAAAATTGTTAAAAACTTTCTGAACATCGTATACAAAAATAGATTTATTTCAAAAATAAGTGAACTCGAATTACTAGGAATAGCGTAACTTCAATTTATCAAATAATAATTAACGAACTATATTGATCAAATACCTTAATTAGTAATAACTAAATAACAGTATACTATATTAATTACTATAATTTACTTTGTTCTTCTTAAACTCACTTACTCTTGGTCCGTCGAAGCGGGTTATGATACTCTTTAGTGAGCTGAACTTGTCTTCGCGTGTCTTGGTATGTGTCTTGGCCTCTATATGGTAATTAGTTGAAGGAGGATAAACCACAATACTAATATTTAACGAATTTACATAATAGTTAAAATTGGAATGTTTATATCTCATATATCTTATCATTTTCCTATATTGATAAAAGTACAAAAATGTAGCAATAAATAAAAAATAGTGAAATTTTTGAAGCATTTGGAGCGCTCTATCGTTTCATGTCACTGCACGACCACTGATATATTTCAAGAGACTAAACTTAAGTGAAGTTGAATTGGGTTTTTACTCGAGCACAACTAAACAAAAACCAGCTTAAACATATAAAAAATATATTTATTTATTATTACTTTTTAGTTTATTTAAGTTTTGCGCCACTCAAAAAACAAAAAATAATTACATTTCGAAGTCAAATTTTATAACTTCGTCATTACATTATGTAAAATTTTATAGATCTGAAGTGCTTTTATAGATTTGTAAAAGTATGAAATTTTTTATAATCTAAAATATCTTTTTTGTGCCATTTACAACAAAATATTTCATGCCACTTTAAAGTTCAAAACAACAATATTACACTTATCTAAATACTCAATAAATCATTTGAGTTGCAGATCCCATTTTCGTGTTGTAAATTGCTTGTGTAAGCTGGACGATAAAGTTTTTGTGTTGAGCGAACTCCATATATTGAAGTAAATTTAGACACATCTCCATACGTATCATATTTACAACGAGATTTCTTTCCGATTTTGCGTATTATGTCTTGAAGCGCGTTTCGAAAATGAGAACCTGCTAAAAAATATAAAAAAGGGTTTGCGCAACTGTTTATAGTAGGCAGAACATAGTTAAATATAGATGTTACTATATTATATAGTGCGGGATGGTTAGAATCAAATTTTTGAAGTAAATCAAGCTTCCAATATTGCAATAAGATGATAACAAAATGAGGCACCCAGCAAATAACATTAAATGCAAATACGAGTGCAACCATTTTAGTTGCTTTCATCTCAATATGTCGCTTTTTAAGCGAGCTTGCGCTCATTTTAGCAATAAATTTTTCTTGCTTTATTGCTATTCGCAAAATAATCATATATAGAAAAAAAGCCATTAGTGTTGGTATTATAATTATCACCGAGAGCATAACCGTTATGTAGTATTTATTTGGGTTGTAACAAAATCGTCCATTTCTTTCAACAATTTTGATATATTGTTTTGATGGGGCTTCCCAAGATAACACCCCTAAACACGCCCATAATATGCACCATAACCAAATAATGCATACAATTAACTTTCCTTTTCTTTCCGTAAAATATAGAGAATAAAAGTAAGGGCGTGTTATAGCAACGCATCTATCAATAGCAATTACAAGAAGGTGCGTGATTGACGCTATGGGAAACAAAAAATCTGTTAGTACAAAAAGGTAACACATTTCAATTCCTAAACAAAAGTTTTGATTATGCCTGTACATATCTATCTTTAAAGATGTGACAAAAATTGAAACTCCAATGTCAGCAGACGCAAGTGAAACTATAAAGTAATAAGCACATTTATTTCTTAAATCTCTTGTCAAAAGTATAACGCCAATACTAAGGGCATTTCCAAAGATGCCAAATATACAAACAAAAGTGCATAACGTTGCTAACAGAATATTTCTTGTAGAAGGATGTTTCTTGCACGGAAAATTAACATCTGAATGAGAAGAATTTGTTTGATCGTCGGTTATGTTTATTGTTGTTCTTATTGTTAATTCATGGTCTTCTAACGCTACAGCAACCAATAAATTAATTGTTACGATTAGAATTACTCTCATTTTTTTATTGAATCTGAAAAAAAAAAAAAAAATTTACAAGTAAAAACGAATTATTCACTTACTAATACTAAATCAGAATTCATTGACTTAATTTCATAAAAGTTTTGCATTAAGTTATATTTTCCTGTTAAAGAAAATTACAAGCCCATATTCACAAGGAAAATATTTATCCGAAGCAAGAACAAAACATTAGCTTAAGCTAATGTTTATAATACAATTCGGTAATACAACAATTGTTGTTATTACCGAGCGCTGTTGGTGAGTATACTGAGTCGTAAATAGTTAAATATACGCATTAGTGTTTTATAGATAAAAATTACACTAAGAATACAAAAAAATTTTAAAAAGTAAAAAATAAAAAATGAAAATATTTTTAATAATATAAACTCTATCTGGCCATAACTTGTAACTACGCTAAAAAAATGACAACGTTTTAACGACGTTCAGTCATTACGTTTTTAAAAACGAAATATTTTTTAATATAGCTTAATAAATTTTGATTTGATAACAAAAGTACCCTCAAAAAGATATGTTTACTTCGATATAAAATATATATTTCTTTGTCATTTTAAAATTAAAATTGTGCACAAATTATATTTAAACTAAAATTGAGTAAAAATAAGTTTGCCTATTTTTATTTAATTAACCTATTTTTATTTAATTAACCTATTTTAATTTAATTAACCTATTTTAATTTAACTAACCTATTTTTATTTAATTAACCTATTTTAATTTAATTAACCTATTTTAATTTAACTAACCTATTTTAATTTAATTAACCTATTTTAATTTAATTAACCTATTTTTATTAGTAAAGTTTATTAATTGAAATTTAATTCATAACTTTATAAACCAAAAGGTTATTTACTAAGTTAACTTTTATAAAATTTCATTAAAAAATTGTGGGTTTTAATGATAAAAATGAAGAAGATATTGAGATGCAAATTAAGTCAGAAAATATTTAAGATAAAAATGAAGTCAGAAAATACTTGAAAGAAGAAAATATTTAAGATGCAAATGAAGCTAGAAAATAAATTTTACATATAATAATATTCAAAATAAATAAATCTTAAATATTTTATGTAGCAACTGCCGATCTGATTGCAACTGAAAGCTTTATATTTGCATCCGTGTCTATTTTCTCTAGAAAATAGTCTTTTTTTAGTAAACAAGGTCACTTAACTTAAAAATACTTTTATTATTAATGACAGAGTGGTAATTTTTAATTAAAATTTTTTTTTTTTAAAGTAACTAATAATACAAGCAATATGTACCCAAATGACTATCTTATGCTTTAAATATATTTTAAGTTTTTCTACGCCTGTTTTGAAGTAAAAAGTTAAATTAATTACCATTTCCCAAAGTTCAAACATTTGTTTTAAAATACGCACTTTATCGTCTTTTAATTATTTGTTTGACCGTGTGACAATTTTTTTTGACAAGTTTAACTCAAGTTGATAATATTAATAAAACATAAATAAGAAAAATAGTTTTTTTTTTTGTTATCAGATATTTGACTTTAAATCAAAATAAGCAAATCAGATTGTTCCATAAAAATTTTATTTTAGAGATCAACTCATCAAAGAATGTCTGTCAGTGTGTTTGAACTCTATTAATCCATTTCTGCTGTACAGGAAAAAAAAAAAATTTGTAAAATTATATTTATTTTTTAAAACTATATTTCCTTCGTATTTAATAATATTAGTGTATATAACATTTAATGTTGCATAAAAATGTTTTTTTTAAAAACTCACAAAATTTGAGTATTTAATTCAAAAGTAGTTCATCAAAATTTTCAAAAATCAGTTCATCTCTTTTCCCATCAATGTCTATAATTTGAAAGAAAATATATTGCAAACATATTTCAAACAGAATCTTAAACATTTGCGCAATAGTGCACATGTTAGTGTAATAATGACGGAGTGGATTTTTTTAGAGTGTGGAAAGTTTGCAATAAAAACTTTTTACGAGTAATTGCGGTCATTGGAGTCTAGGAATAAATCTAACTTATAAATCTAAGAAAAATCTTTAATTAGCACGCTGGATATGAATTTATACCCAGTTTTCATAATTTCATAAACATAAATTCTTTTTGAGCCACAACTCAGAAATACTACAGAAAAGACTTTGAGCTTTAGTTAACATTTTTGACAAAAGTTTATTATTTATAGATAGAGTATCCACGGCTCATAAATAAAATTTGATGTTGTTGGTGGGGATGATGTAACATTTGAAGATTAATAAAAAAATCAATACTTATTATAAATATAATATTCAATTGTTACAGAGCACCGCAGAAAATCATTTAACTAAGAAGTCTACGTCTCCTTCCTTACCGATGACGCGAAGCTATTATATATATATGTTATATACTATATATATATGTTCGCACTCTCTTGTAATTTCTTATTTTGAAAACACGCGCTCTAATCACTGCGCCTCGGATATACACATTATTCAACATAAAATTTAAATATTATTTGTATACAGGGCCGTCTCTAGAGAAATGGGGTGAAGGAGGTGTATAACCACCTAGAATTATTTTATCTAATAATTATTCGGCTAATTCAGGGCGTCGGCAAACCGCGAGGTTAGAATTATCTTGTTTTATCTCCACATTTTTAAGATTTGAACAACTTTTAAAAAATAACTTTTTAAACAACTTTTCAAAAAAAAACTTTAGGAGACACTTAAAAGATTTTTATTACTTATTTTTTCTTCGCAACTTTTTTTTATAATAACTTTTATAAAATTCTTAAAAGATACATACCACAACCAATAATTTAGGTTTTTCAAAAAGTGAAGATAGAACAAGATAATTCAAATCTTATAAACCTCTTTTTAGGCCAAAGCCAACAAATAAACAGATACATCACTTCCCCTTCCCTTAAAATTTTAAAGATCTCCCTGGATGTACAAAATTTTATATGTTATATAAATATTTTGTTGATAAGACCGCAAGGTTTCCATAGTTATTTACGGTTATTTAACTATGCAACTTTTTATTAATACAACTTTACGAATTATTTTAATACGTAACGCAAACGAATTTATATTATTTAGAAATTTAAACAAAACACATGAAGAAAAATAAATAAAAACCCAACACCTGGAACGCATTCAGGTGTTGATTTTTAAAATGGTAAAAAGTACGTACATCTACAACTTGACTACAACTTGACTATAATAGCAAAATAATAAAGAAATGTTTTCATTTTTTTCAATATATTTAACAAATTATAAAATTAAACAAAAAACTTACATATGATAAGTTTATTAATTTTTTAGTTTCTGTTTTAAGAATAGATTTAGAGATTAATTTTTTAAATATAAAATATAAATAAATATTTTATATTTATTTATATATAAACAAATATAAAATATTTATTTATATATAAATAAACATAAAATATTTATTTATATATAAATAAATATAAAATATTTATTTATATATAAATAAATATAAAATATTTATTTATCTATGAATTCAAAGCGTTTATTAACGTTACACATGAAATTAATTGACCAAATTAAACATTCATCAAAAAATGTTTGTACTCAAAAGCAAAGTTAACAAATCTCTATGTAGGGTAGAGGGAGGATTATAAGTTTCATAATATAATAATAACTTTTTCTTCTATTTTTTTAATTGTATAAAAATATTAAAATTTTATTTAATTGTATAAAAATAATTTATTATATATATATATATTTTTTTTGAGATTTTTTAAGAAATTAAAATTTTTTGAGATTTTAATTGATAAACTTTGAATAATTTTTTTAATTGTATAAAAATATCATGTAAAAATAAATAATAGAATTTATAATACATAGTTATAGAATTTATAAATATGGAACAAAATAAACCAGTTTGATCCTTTTTTAACTAATTATATTTCTAAGTTTGACATTTATAGCAATTAAAATTCTATCATTCAAAATTAACTTGCAATATTGATATATTGGTCTTATGACTGAAAAGATTTATTTAAAAAGTTTGACCATTGACAAATATTGTAAGAATTACTTGGTAGTGTAAAGATGTCTAAAATAATTTCAGTTATGAGGGAAGCTCATGCTGATCTTTTTCTTTTAATAAATAATAATAATATATTATTAAATAATCATAAATAATAATATATTATAAAATAATAAATAATAATGCTTTTAATAAAAAATAAATAAAAAGATAATAATAATTTTAAATAAATTTACAAATACTTTTAGTTTGTTAACGTTTTTTATAAAATCTGAACAAAAAAAGAAAAAGAACATTTAAATTAAATGAAGTCCGTTGGCACCAATGAGTTTACCTAAAAACCCACTTTATATTTACAGTTTATAAAGTTGTTGTTTTTAAAATAGCGGATGCAATGTTTAGAAAATTTAGTAATGCTAATTGCATACAACATACCGCTATAATTTCTATATTGTTAACATTTTAATGTTGTCTAACATTTTTAATTCGGGAAAGAAGATTAGATAGAGTATCGAAAAATCTTGACTTCACCATAAAATGGTTAGCAAATCAAATACCACTTGATATTCTACATCTTGACTTTGCTAAAACCTTTGTCAAAGACCATAACAGTCTACTCTGCAAACTGCAAACCTTATATCTGAAAATCGAAAATTAAAACATTCAAGTTTAATTTCGATAAATAACGTCTTGCATTCATGAACTTCAATTTTATAGTTGAATGTATTGTTTGGTATGTTAATGAATTAAAAAATTGTATGACATCAATAATAAATTAAACTTTGGTTATGTATTGTGATAATAAAATTATCGTGATAATAAAAACCTCAGTAGCAAGTTATTGCAACCACAACTTTTCTGTAACATAATATAAAATAAAACCCTTGATACTAATTGTAAAGTTTTTCTATTAAAGCATCAAATCAGGTTTAGTTAAAAAAAAATCTTTCTGAATGTAAAATAAATTTAAAATATATTAAACAGTTGACTTTTCAGTAATTTTTAATCAATACCTTAAAAATAAAAAATAAAAAGTTAGAGCGGAAAAATTATAGCGAAAAGTTTACCCAGTAGGCACAAACATTTGTAAGCCGTATATACGACGTTTTTAAGGTCATAAGACCGTCGGACGTCTTTAAGTCGTCCAACGAACGTTCAATACCCACTGGATAATAACCACATATCAAATCTTCAATTAACATTTGGTTATTATTTAATTCACGTAAATCAGCCCATACAAAAGAAAAAAGTCATTACCCAGTGGGCACGCGTCGTCTGGAGGACGTTCGTTAGACGTCTTGCGAACGTCCAGTGGTACGTAAGACGTCCGACGGACGTTCCCCGGATGACGCATGCCCATTAGGTAATAGTGAAATCAATTTGTTTAAAAGATTTCTTCTTCAATTTTTTTAATGAGGCTATTTATAATTAAAATTCTTTGCAAACTTTGTTTTATTGAATGTTCGTTATATAAAATATTTTCAAACTCATTTTATCGAAGCTCGGTCAAGTACAATAAATATAATAAAAACTATTTCGCAGCCAAAAATGTTGAAAAGTTAAAGACTCAAAAAATCTTAAAAACGTTAAACCACAAAACCCTTATATTAGAAACAGGTCAAAAATTTCTCGTAGATAAAGTACAAATAATAATAGAATATTTGAATAATAATAATTAATATCATAATAATAAAAGAAAATATATATTTTAAAATTAACTTTTACTAAAGAATATTATTTTAAAACTATTATAGTTAAATAAACATTTAATTTAAAAACATTTAAAATATAAAATAACTTTAAAAGTAATTTTTTTAAACTACTTAATTTGTGTTATAAATTTATGATTTTATGAACAGTTGTGTTTCTCAATAAATAAAACAATTGAATTAATTTTTCATTATTTCTACAATTGTCGTGCTCAACTTTGGCAATAACGGAAACAGAACCATAATGTCTTCATTTGATCTCGGCTTTTTTCTTAATTTACGAATCAAATCTCGAAGCGCATTTTGGAAATGTGAACCAGCTAAAAAGTATAAGAAAGGGTTTGCACAGCTGCTAACAGTTGGTAACACGTAGTTAAATAAAGATGTAATGACGTTGTATAATGTTGGATGAATCACACTGAACCTATAAAGTACATCGATGCTCCAATACTGCATTAAAATTATAACAAAATGAGGTACCCAGCAAATAACAAATATTACAAATACAAGAGCCACAACCTTAGTTGCTTTCATTTCGGTATATCCTTTTTTGAAAGTTTGTAGCAACATTTTAGCAATAGATTTTTCTTGTTTAATTGCAACTCGCAAAATTATCATATATAAAAAAAAAGCAATTAACGTTGGTATTAGTATTATTACTGAGAGCATTACCGTTATATAGTATTTATTTGGATTGTAACAAAATCGTCCATTTTCTTCAATAATTGTTATAGAAGTTTTTGATGGGGTTTCCCATGATAAAACCCCTAAACACGCCCATAATATGCACCATAACCAAATAATGCATATAATTGTTCCTTTTTTTTCCGTAAAATAAAGAGAATAGAAGTATGGCCACGTTATAGCAACGCATCTATCAATAGCAATTACAAGAAGGTGCGTTATTGATGCTATGGGAAACAAAAAATCTGTTAGTACAGAAAGATAGCACATTTCAATTCCTAAACAAAAATTTTCATCGTGCCTGAACATGTCTACTTTTAATGATGTAACAAATATGGAAACTCCAATATCCGCTGATGCTAGGGAAACTATAAAGTAATAAGCACATTTAGTTCTCAGATCTCTAGTAAAAAGTATGACTGTTATACAAATAGTATTTCCAAGTATACCAACAATAGCAACTAAAGTACTAAAGATTGCAAGTAAAAAATTTCTTGTTGAAGGATTTTTTGTACATAAATTTGTATTGTTCGTCGTGCTTGGGGACGAACCTTTAACCAACAGAATACTTAATGTCATAACTACAGCAAACAGTAACGGTCTCATTTTCTTATTTAACTAAACACAACTTTGTGTTAAAGTTTTTTAAATTTTGTTTTGCTCTCAATTAGATATCAATAAAATATGATATAAAAATAAATTAATAGAAAATAACACCTAATTATAAATTTTTTAGTATTAGTAAAATTCAATGTTTACAACGACATTAAAAACTCTATAATCTTCATCATTAGTTAATATTTATTAATTCTCACTAAAATTTTATTTTTTAAACTGAAGAACCGTTTAAAAATGTTTATTAAAAACCGCGCTTTTTGGGTTTGTAAATTTTAATACTTTAGAGTAAAGAATAGACCTTTTTAAATATGATCCTTCCCATTACGTTTTGGTAAAATAAAATGGCGCCATAAATATTGCGTCGATCTCTATCGAGTACAAAATTGTTACGAGTATATGGAACATAACTGTTTCTTTATGCTTCAACATAATAGATAAAAATTTATGAACGCTCGTTTTTTGATTAGCAATAGATTAAAAAAGCTTTTGCAGCCTTTTTAAATTTAACTTAAGGAGACGTATTTCATAAAATCTATTTTAACAAGAGAGATTTTTGTATTTAAAAATATGAATTAAACTTTGCTGTCGTTGAACTTTCAAAACATAAAATTTTAACGCAAAGGAGTGGTTAGCACGTGTACTTATACAACATCCATTTTTATAATTGCGTGTCAACTGCGACAATTATTATTTATGCGTGTGTTGAAAAATTTCTATAGAATGCAACAAACCAAAAAAGGTTTGATCACCATTGAAAATTCAATTTAAACAACTACTATGGTAAAAAGTACTCATGAAACTTTGAAAAGTATGCAATGTTAAAGTAAAGATAGGATAAGGTTAAATTTATATATGTTTGTAATATTATGAATAATTAAAACATATTTATTTCAAGTTTTCTTTTGGATGATGGAAGTTATAAACCTTAATAAAGATTCAATTTATATTTCAGGTTTAAATCCAAACCTTGAACGCATATTGAATGCATTTTGAATGTATCTTTAATCCATAAATATATTTCTAATATATTCTATAGATGTATTTAAAAAAAAACCTGATCAAAGTAATCTTCCCGTTGCGACGATGTTGCGACGATGTTGCCGCTTTTATATAAAAAACAAACAAACAAACAAAAAACATTTTATAAACGCCATACTTTGAATATGCAAACACGCAATTGGGGTTGTTTAAATGTCTTGTATGAATAAAAAAAATTTTTTAATGTTATACTTACAGTATTTTAAAATTGGTATTTTATAATAATGTGGTCTTAAACGTCAAATATTTATTATCTTGTAAGTCTTCTGATTGCAAATCAATCAATTTCCATTTAGTTATATAGGAGAATACGTTAATAAAATAAAAATTAAGATAAAATGAAAACTTTTCCACATGTTTAAATGAAAGTATAAATAATTGAAATTTAACAAAAACTTGATGTTAGGATTTGCAATTATCGTTAAAAAAGGGCTATTCAATTGAGGCGAAGCTAATCCTGAACTTTAAAATAAATTCAAAAAATATTTAACTTGCTTTATAAACCGTCTTACCGCTTACAAACAGTTACAATGGTTATTTTTTTACCATAAGGAACAAAATTAACTTTTTTTTGCAGCTTTTTAGTTTACCGAACAAAGTTTAAAAAAACGCCGAAAATAGCATCATTAATTATCATATTCAACAAAAAGATTTCAACCATTCGCTTACTAAACTACGCAGAAAATAAAATTTCGGAAGGCTTGAGATTTAAAGGACTTTTTTTGAAAAATTTAATACAAATTTTTAAATTATACTTCCAATCGGCTAATAAAAGCTGCTATCATAAAATTAAAGTATGTTTGTGTGTTTAGAAAGAAAAGAAAGATAGTGGTAGAGAGGTAGTGGGGAGAAAGGAGGGGGGGGGGGGGAGGTGATACAAGTAAAAGCGGAATGAGAAAAGTATTTATTTGTTAAATAAAATCTATGAATTTTGTTAACATAAATTATATATAAAATAATAAATCAGGAAATAAAAAGTTCTAAAAACCACTTTTAAGATTTTAGTATTCATTAAAAATATTATTTTGAATATCTTACTATTTTCAAAACTTTTGTTTGGATTGTAGTTTACTAATCTTTGACTTCGTTTTCTTTCATGTCATCGTGTTTTTTTCTTTTTTTACATTGTAATTTATCAATTTTCGAATAAGAACTTTTTCTTTTATGTCATCGTAAGGCACAACCCAACTGTCGTTTTTTCATTTTATTTTTATTTTTTATATATTAATAATAACTGCAAAAAAAGAACTTTTAATTTCCGTATTCCGGAAATATTTAAATATAGCTTCGAAACTATTTAGTTTGCAAATCTGAAACGCAGATTCTCTCTTTTAAGCTTTTTTGTTTCAAATAATAAATGAAAAAAGTGTTAAACATATTTTTAACTTTAATGAAACTTTGATATTTTTTTTGCAATTTTGAAAGTTTTGACAGGAAAAATGCAAATGTAATTTGTAATTTAAAAAAAGTTACATTCGCATTTGAAAAACAGTTAATAAAATGATAGATTTACATTCATTATATATATATATATATATATATATATATATATATATATATATATATATATATATATATATATATATATATATATATATATATATATATATATATATATATATATATATATATATATATATATATATATATATATATATATATATATATATATATATATATATATATGTATATATATATATATATATATATATATATATATATATATATATATATATATATATATATATATATATATATATATATATATATATATATATATATATATATATATATATATATATATATATATATATATATATATATATATATATATATATATATATAGAAAAGATTCAAATAACACGAAATTTCCATTCAAAACCTTATTTAAAAATTTCTTACAAACATATATATATAAATCATTTTACCTTCTTATAAAAAATTTCAATTAATAACAATTTTTTACAACTATTTAGTTTTGCATTTTTTATATTAAACCAAGAATTTTTTATTTAAAACGCGCAAACATTAATTAAACTATGTTGTTTAAAAATGCTGTCTTAGTTTAATCACTCAAATCAACACAGTAGGTCATTTTTGTAAAAAAATATCACGATTCAACATGGAGAGACGCGGTCACCGCGGGTCTTTATTGTGGAGCAGTTAACAAAATTAGTTTGAAACTGATTTTAGTCTAAAACTTTTTTTATTAAACTAAACAATAGTTTTTGCCTTAAAGCTGAAATTACTAAAACTTTTATTGTTGACGTGATTTACTTTTGTTGTTTAAATTTAAGAATAATTTGTATGGGGTTGCAGGGAATAGTTTTACCCAGTGGCGTAGTAAGGGACATTAAACCCCGGGGTCAAAATAGAAAAAAAGTTTCTTTTTACAGAAAAATGTTTTTTTTATTTTTTTAAATAAAAAAGTATTTTATAAAAAAACGAACTGTTTTTGCGCCTCTTTATTTGTTTGCGCTCAGTGCTGAAAACTCCCTTTGGCCCCCGTATCGCCCAGCTACTGATTTTACTTAGTACTTATACACCCATTTATCTATAGCAATTAAATTTTTCAAAATTGTTTGACAAAGATTGGTTTTTTAACCAGTTTGTTTTCTTTTAAAAAAACTGTATTAGAAAATCTACGCTTTTCAACTTCAAGTGTTTTTTTTACAGTTCTGTAAAATATTACCAAATGCTTTTTGGTTCAAGGAACTAATATAAGCAATATTTGATAATGCTGATTAAAGCATACTTAATATCTTTGATTAAAATATACTAGATATCTTTAGTTGTTAATAATATCTGAGGAATTGCTTGAATGATTGTAATAAGTGTATTACTAAACTTTAATGCATTAGTTGTTTGGTGGTAAATTTATACTTTCTAAGCAAGGCAAACAAAGTTTAAATCCACAAAGTTGCTGGAATTGCTACGCACAGATTATTTATAACTGAATGTTTCCTCCTTATACTCCTCCTACCAATATGAATCTTTTTTGGGATTTTGGTAGATAAGTATACTAATATATGTATATATACATATATGTATATATACATATATATATATATATATATATATATATATATATATATATATATATATATATATATATATATATATATATATATATATATATATATATATATATATATATATGTATATATATATATATATATATGTATATATATATATATATATATTTATATATATATATATATGTATATATATATATATATATATATATATATATATATATATATATATATATATATATATATATATATATATATATATATATATATATATATATATAATTTATGACAAGTGTTAAATTAGTCATTTTGAAATAAGTATGCAATTTTATTTTGTTAGATCTTTCATTTGGTCTATAATTGCTGTAGTTTAAAAAAAGTTATCCGATTTATGGCAACAAATCAAATTTTCAAACTCATCTCCTACGAAATGTCATAATTTTTCATATAATTGCACGTACCATAAATTGACCACTGGCCACAGATATATAAATGCATGTATGTAAAAATTTGATAATTTTTGTAGTATTGGTAGGTTTTCTAAATTAGAAAATTGATAACTTGTAATGATAGCAAGATCATTTTCTGCCTAAATCACCTCTACCGTCCCTGGATTACCCCACCTCTTCTATGCATCGCAAAACGTCCCGGGTTTTAATACAGAACATAGTAAATTAATATTATGAAGCTAAATTTAAACTATTTTTTTATAATTAAACATTTATAAACCTAAATAACTAATCGTACTTGATACCAAATACTAATAGTATTTGATATGTTGTAAATAATGTCTAACCAAGTAAGTAATAACAATTGTAATATAAAAATAATAAAAGAAAAGAGAAAAAAAAAAAAAAGATAGCAGAAGTAATTAATATGAAAAAACAAAGATTCGAATAGCAAAACGTGGGAAAGTATAGTGTTGAAGATAAAAAGACTTATGACGTACATATTTATCTTGTAGAATAATCCTTATTTGCCGCCTTTGTAAAAAAGTCGTTAAAAAAAGCAATAACTATTATTTTATTATAAAACAATATATTCATAAAGCATGAAATATTTTTAACACAAGTTTTTTTAAAAATTGGGGAACGAATAAGTACAAAACATTTTTTCACAACAATTAATTTTTCCGTTTAAGACGAAAATTTTTTTATGAAGGGTAGTTTCTGAAAACGAAGGTTTTTAAACTTTATCTTTTAAAGTTTTACGTGTTTAAAGGAAAAATAATTTTGATAAATATATTGTTAGTAGTTACTCTAAATTAGAAATTTATAACTCGAAATGTCCTAAACCATGTCTTGCTTAAATCACTACTACCGTATCATTCTTTTTAAAATCAATTTTTTTAAGGGTTCGTCCATAAAATAGGTACGTCGGAATTTCAACCCTTCCCTTTCCCCCTTTATTTTACTACACACTTTTTTGAGTACCCTCCACCTCCCTAATGGTAGCAATGCTTTTAATCTACTTAGCCAACATTTTATGATATTTTTTCACATTAGTGTCTACGTACTTTTTAATTGACCCCTGACCTCCATCTCATATACTCTTTTTGCAGACCCCTCTACCCCATTTGAAAAAACGTACTTCATGGATGATTCTTAACGCGCCGGGTTTTTCTGCATAATATAGTAAAATGAAAAATTTTAAATCTAAATTTAAATTTCTATAATTATACATTATTAAACCTAATAAAAATTTTACATTTTTATAAAATTTGTAAAAGTTACATTGAATGAATAAAAAATTGCATAAAATTTTTTAAATATATTTACATTAAATTATATATTTTTCTCAATATTTTGCTTATATACTTGGATCAGTGTCGGCAGTTATAAAGAAAATCTAACACCCATAAACAAACCAAAAGTGTTGCTATTGATCTCGACTAAATTGACTAAAAGTCGGCTAGACGAAAGTCAACAAAATGCGTAGCATGTTACCAATAACAACCTAGTTAAACATTCGGTTACGTATTTCATTAATTTTTTTTTTATGTTTAAGCTAAGCTTGCGGTTTTCATAAATACTTTCATACAGGGCCATTCCAAGCTGGCACTCCAAGCTGCCACTCCAAGCTGCCACCCCAAGCTGGCCAGGTGCCCCGAGGCAAAATTAAATCGCGAAGCTCCAAAATCAAGAAAACGAATATAAGTTACTTTATTATTTTTATTAACATTCATTTCGAATATAAAATTTATTCCCATTATTCGACTCAATCGGCTTTTAGTTAATTTCAAAAATGTATTAGTAGATTTAATAGAACTTAGCAAATAAATTAGTCGATTTAGTCGACAGTTGAATTATTTAATAGTCGTATCAACACTACAAACCTCTAACTGACAAAATTGATCAAACTATTAAAAAAAAAAAATTAATTTTTTTTTACTATCTCTAAAAACATGTTTTTTTCAAGTTATCTAAATTATGTATATTTTGATTTATATTTGAATTAAAAATTAACAAGTAACAATGTTTAGAAAAATTTTTTTTTTAGCACTATTCGCTGATTTTTCTCAACCCATTAAAATCATCTTATTGTTTAAAATGTTTATAGTTTATAGAGGTTGTACTTATATAAGTTTTACTCTTACATTTAAGATAACTAACTTTTTTACATGGAGCAAACTTCAAACACATTTATATGCTTATACTTATGACAAATAAGGATGCTTTGCAAAAAATTGCGATAATTGGAGCCTGGAAACAAAAAAGCCCCAATTTTTTTTGCCCCCCTGCCTCAAACGTGACAGCAACAAGTTGATGACAGCAACAAGTTGATTTTTTTTTTTACTTTTTTTAACAAGACTTATATTTATTGATAAATTTTAAATTTCATAGTAAAATATTTTTGTGTTCAAAAATTGTTACAATGTTTACCAAAGTTTAAACCCCTCTCAATTTGAGGGGTTGCAAATTTATATGCTGAACGCTGAGAAATTATAGTATGAAACTTAAAATTTATTGATGAAAATAAGTCTAGTTAAAAATAGTACAAAAAAGATTTCATCAACTTGTTGCTCTCACGTTTTGTGCAGGGGAAAAAAATTTTGGGGCTTTTTTGTTCCCAAACTCCAATTATCGCAATTTTTGGAAAACCATCTTTATTTGACATAAGTATAAACATATAAAAGTTTGGAGTTAGCTCCATGTTTGGAAGTTAGATATATCGAAGACCAAAAAATGCTGGATC